TACTGCCCATTCCTTTCACGTTTCAGAATGTACCAGTTACAAGTCAGGGAATCAGACAACCTTATCCTGGAAGTGGTAGAGGAAGCTGAGAAGTTGTGTTCCTGGTATTGGCAGGGATTGGGTCCTCACTGCTTGGTGGACAGACTGTGTTTGTCCATTCAATGACCAGGAGGTCACCAGGATGGATTGATTCATCTTTGTGACCCAAAACTATGGTGCTCAGCTGGGTTCCTCTTGATGGGGAAATTAAACCAGCAAGAAACATTTCACTGCCCTTCTCATGCAATGGGTACAGAGGGATCCCAACCCCAAACCATGGGTAAACCACTGCTTCCACCATGCCAAAGAGAGCTGTAGGAATGACCACCAACCTCCAAACCCCGTGGTGATCTGCTAATTCACTGCACTGACTCAGCACAGGCTCTGAGCATCAGCACAGCAGGCACACAGCTGGACATGGCAAAACCACCAACTGCCCAACGACGTATGGGATTCAAATCAATACAAAACACATTCTTTTGCATCACCTCGAGTTCAAATGGCATCTGTTTCATGGAGCAAACAGCATCCCATGTGAGACCTACCCCGAGGTTTGGTCAACGCTCCGTCATTTCAACTAATGATAAATAAATCTCAGCATATTCTAAGAGACTTCCAGAAGCTCAAAACATAAAAGAGGGGGAAAAAAAAAGCCAGCTAAGCAGGCATTGTAATAACAAAGTTGAATAGAGAAATCATCCTCTTTCAGTTTTTCAGATCCAAAATGGAAAAGTATTTGGAAACTGGGGAAATTGGAGAAAAGCATTTGGAAAGCCAAGCTGGATGGGGCTGTGAGCAACCTGGTCTAGTGGGGGGTTGGAACCAGATGATCTTAAAGGTCCCTTCCAACCCAACCCATTCTACAGTTCTATTAATCTATGACACTTAGGAGCTATCTGTGGACAAGCTTTAGGCAACTGGTGTGCAATGGATGGAGCCTGACCTACTGGTTGGCAACGCAGCCCATGGCAGGGGGTGGAACCAGACAACGTTTAAGAGCACCTCCAACCCAATCATTCCATGACCCTGTGATCCCCACACCTCCAATTTCAGTGTTCGTTGTGTAACTGGACACTTACAGATAAAATTTGCATTGCACTCCTTTCCTACACGCTTCCTAAACCAATTTTCTATTCACTGGGGACTGCTGGTCAGATCAGGCTTTCCATCAAATGCAAAAAGATGCTCATTTGCTTCTAATTCATTCTCCATCATCCTGCTGGGTAAGATGTAAGTATGCAACTTGGAGGAGGACCAAGTCTCTCTTTGCTGCTCGCCTCCTGACAGAAAGGAAAATGCAAAACACCTCCACTGCATTGTGTTACAAGAGGGCTCTGCTCGAAACCATGGCAACTGAACGTGGTTTTATCTCTGCTGCTGCTGAGCCAGCCCACACTGAGCGCTGCGGAGACGGAGCAGGTTTGGTTCATGATGTGGAACTGAAGGGAATGGGTGAGGAGCTGCCCTCACCCTCACCTCCAGAGACATCATTTCTTCACTGAGATCTGGAGATTATTTGTTATCTTCTAATACCTGATCAATTCTGGGCGCACAGAGAACGTTTAGTGCAGAACACTGATTTCCCATGCAGCATTCCTGGGTCTGGTTTCAGACACAAACAGCTCCTGTGCTGGGCACCAGCAACTGGGGTCTGAATGATACCAAATGCTGCAGGGCCTTTCTTCATCCTTCTTCTGAAAACCCAATCCTAGGCAGCTGGAATTTCAGCCTAATGCCACATCTGGAGATGTGAGGATGCATCTGCATCTCCGTGCCGTAGAAATGTGCTGCTCACAGTGGGATGTTCCTCCCAGGGTTTCCAGAAGGAACCACTCTCCTCCACAGCCATCACAGTGGGAAAGAACACCTGAAATCTACCCCCAAATCTGCATAACGGAAAGGAGAGAGGACAGGGCAGGGTTCACCTCACCCAGTTTTATCAGTCAGTGCTGGAGGAGGCTCCCAGTGAGACCATCACCCCACGCTCCCTTTGCAGAGCCCCACGAGCAGCCATCCCATGGCACTCTGCATCAGCCCCACTGCAGCCTTTCAGCTCACGATGGAATCACTCACCCTTAGTTCCCCCCTCTGACTACAGTGCAAGTCTAGACAAGGAGCTTTGATGCTGATACTTCAATCTGAACACAGTAATTTCACTTTGAGGGTCTGTATTTGTCTGCAGCACCAACCACTTCCCCCCCACCTCCCTCAGTCCCATCAGCAGCAGCACAGGGATGAAACATTTCATTTTCTAAGCGCTGCAAAAGGAAGCAAAATAATTGCATGGAAGATTCTGATGAAGGCGAAACACGGAACAGCGTTACAAGATTTAGGTTAAGAAGTGTCAGAGTGAGCACACAATAATCACCACTTTTCCATGCTCTGGTCACAATGGATTGGGCCTTTCCCTATGATGCTTTATGTGGTTTGTCAACTACAACACTTGGTAAATGGTGCCAGCTGGGGGGAAGTCATTACTGCAACGCTGCTTGAACCCTGACAAATGCTTCTTGGTGCTTCCATGGATGCTGGGGGTCCCTGATGGGAGATCCACAGTGATTGAGTTCCCTTTAATGCCAATGAGCTCACAGTGAGCCCCAGCACAGAGGGTCAGCAGTCCCAAAGGCCAACACAAAACCTGGAGGCTGGAGATGTGCCATTTGCCAGAAGCTTAGAGAATGTGGTGATTTCTGGACATTGTGTTCTTCCTCTTCCCTCTCCCCATACTTCCAAGAAGAAGGGAACACGCTCTGTTCAGCACAAGGAGAAAGATTCCCTGCTGGCAGTGCTGCAGCCCTAAAGCCCATCATCCCCAAATCCTTTGTGGTGTCCTCATACCCAGGGTACATCAATGAAGAACAGCCTCACAAAACCACATTTCACTTCAAAACTCATCCAAAAAACATTGGCTTCAGCAGTTCCATCCCTCACTGCATCGACACAGAGAGGGCAATGAGCTCTGTGCTAACAGTGTGCTCCTGCCCTGGTGATGATGAACTAAGTCCGATGCAAGCAGACAGGAAATCAAAGCTGCTGCCAAATCTGCTCCTGGTAGCTCAGTCAGGGGCAAACTGTGCTTCTTTTAAAGAAATAAAATGAAAAATCATTACTTATCTTCATTGGTGCTAAGGGTTTACTGTGCCCTGAGCTCAACGTCTCAATATTAGCTCTTCCCTGAGAGCTGGACAGGAGGGCTTTGAAGAGCACAGCAGCAGAATCTCAAAGGGTCTTCCCTATTGATCACCAAAATGCATCCTGCTTCATTATCTACCATCAGAGTGTAATGCAATCAGCGTGCATTATACATCAGAGAAATTTATCAGCCCTTCAGTACGTATAGACCAGCACTCAAGGCCCTGGCAGCCCATTATAATGCCATGTAACTTCTCTCCTTGCCCCTGGCAAGGCGCCTGGTCTGCTGAGTGCTGGCAATCCCATAGGGCCCTACAGGTGCCCATATATGCTCAAGTCACCGTGTATTTACCAGCTGAGAGGTGGAGGCCATCACCTCTCATCCTACCACTGTTACCTGGGAGAAGAGAATAGGAAGCCCCTGGGCACCTCTGTAAGCACCAGGAGGAACCAAAGCACCCAGACTACACAGCTGCACAACTAGCTGGCATGTGCAGGATGCCATATTTGGGGGTGTTGAGCGTTCTGCAGGTGAGTTTCCTTATCTTGGCAACAAAGCACTGAATTGCCTGAATTTCTCCTGTTGTGGGAAGCACTGCTCCCAGCCTGCCCATACACAGGAAGGGGAGCAGCTCTCAGCTCCACAGGCATCACAGACACACACACACACTGCAAAGAAGGTTGAAAAGAATTCCCCAGTAACAAGCACTTAATGACTCAAGAGGAAGGATATCAAATAGCTAACATTGATTGATACGAAGACACTTGCTGCTGTAAGATGCTTTCCAAAGGGTTCACTCGATAGGACTGTTGTGCAGAACCTATTAAAGCACGTCAGTTTCCCATTGGGAGGAGCTACGTGCTATTTTTCTACTGCAGCCTGTTTGCCACAAAATTTAAAGCAGTGAATTACTCTGAGATCACCAGCAGCTATGGCTGCTTTGATCAGCCAGGAGCTGTTTGGTTCCAGCAGACAGTGCTGTGTTTCATCAGCCTGGCTGCAGGGCTCAGAGATGCCCCGATAAGGCTGAGAATCTGAGTGTTTCCCTGATTTTTGTAACCGTATTTCTGGAGATGGGCAGGAAAAAGAGAGCAGAGCTTATGGGGATCAACGACCAGAATGACAGGCAGAGCGTCTGTTTCCACTCTTCAGTAAAAACAAAAGATAACGCTGTTAATAGTGATCACTGGGCTTAGAGAATATAAATCTAACCATGATTAAATTCTGTTCTCTGTGAGCCAAGCCAGGAACTCTGCTGCTGTCAGAACAGAGATTACACATGCACTTACAGACCAACATTGTCAGAGCCTGACTCTGTTCCTTATTCCGCTCTCTGAAAGACATTTAATAGAACTACAAGGAGCAAGACTTCAAAAAGAAGCCAGCTTCAAAAGATGCATCCACGCCGTCCATCCTTCATCTCCCCATCCCTTACTTTGTGTGGTTGGGAGGGGATGGAGGAGGATTCCCCCTCCAGTCAGAGCAGGGGATGTCAATGTAGCCCCCCCAGCAGTGCCACAGCTGCAGCTCTGAGCTGCTGAGTGTGGACCCTCCGAGGTCCTTCCAGGGCTCAGCTCATCCTGGAGATGATTCTGACGTTTCCTGGCTCAGCTGTGTGCCCAGGAAGCACCCACATCTTTCCACGACCAACACAAAGGTGTAAGGAGAGCAGCACAGATGCAGACACGCACAATGCGGACAGATGAAAGCCGAGCGAAAGCAATTTCATCCCACGTGTGACCTCAAGCAACGAAGCCATTCTCAGAACAGAACGGAACGCTTTTAGATGAACACATCCATCAACCCACTGCTCACAGCGTCTGCTTACCTAGGATCACAAAGAAACTTGGTCTTTTCACCTTCTTCTCTCCAAATAAGCCATTCTCGGAAAGAGGGATGAACAAACATTCGCGTCATGTCTCTACGTTTGATAAGAAACATAGAAAGGTTCTCCATCCTCTGCTGAAAGTCATCCCACTCCAAAGTGCCCTCAATGTTACCTGCATTAATGGCCTGAAAAATATGCTCATCTGTTAAAGGATGCAGAGATGCCACTGCCACATTCAAGAGAGGCATAACCCGATCAAAGGAAGACTGCGTTGGGAACTTCATATTGCACTGCAACAGGTAAACTTCTGACAGAGACACTGGGACTACTTTGTAGCTGGAGCTTTTTAGTACTAGATATCCTTTCTCTATGAGATCAAAAGTGAGTTTCAGGTAAAGGTAGGACCCTTGGCTCAAGGTCTTGAGGTGAGAGCTGAGTTTGCCAAAGGTGGTGTTGTCCATTTTGCCGTTCAGTGAGATGTTGTTCTGGATCTCTGAGCTGCTGTGTATCCGGTGGAGGATGTATGCCTGCAGGTCCTGGTCTATGGCTTCGTTCTCTTCCAGTCTATCCAAAAATATTCTGTGGAAGGGCAACAGCTTAATTATTTCCTGCAAAGAAAGAAAAAAGAAGCATATTCATTCTGGGAATGCTTATTATTCATTAAGTAAACTTGATTTGTATTACAATAGCACCTCTGAGACTCCTTTAAGACCTTTTCCATCAGAGAAAGCACACGAGAAGGTGGTTTATGCCCTCAGGACCTCACAACATCATCTATAATCAGTTTCTGTGTGAGACATGACTGAAATAAAAATGCAGGACGTGGTTCCTAACACTGCATCCATGAGAAGGACTGGGCACGGAGAGGTGCCCTCATTATCCCCCCCCAGCCCAACCCAACAGCGGGGTGCCGTCCCTCCTGCTGTCATCTCAGCCATTGGAGGGAAGGACGTGGAGGTGACAGAACAGAGAAACCCCACTGCTGCTATCAGCAGGGACGTGCACCTAACCAACAAGGCAACTGTTTCCAAGCAATGATGTCTAGCTGGATACCATGGCCAGGGAATCTCATTTGCTAAACTCACTGATGTTTGTATAGAGCAAAACCCAAACTCGTTAGAGGCTTTTCCAACAGAGTTCTCATGTTATAGGCTCTGTCACTGCAAACTGAGGAGAAATGACACAGCAGAGCCTGACAGCACAGACTGAGCAGAGCAGTCCCATCTCCAAAATGGTGGTGCAAAAACAAAAGCTTACAGTAAAGACAACAGGGGATGCAATTTACCCACCACCAGCACACCTGATACACACTAAGCTATTCTTTATCACAACCCAGCAGCTACCAGGATCAGTGTACCTGTAGACTTGTCCTGACAGTCACAACCAGCTTCAGCCAGGAAGGGAATTTCCCAATCATTTTGCTCAGGAATGATACAATGGTGTCACCATAATCTGGCTTGTGAAATTCAGCCTCATTTAAACCATCGATTAATATGATGAAATCTTCATCAGGGATCTTCCTCTCTGAGATGCAAAAAAAAAAAAAGAAAGCATTTCTTTAGGAGGCCAAACACGTGGCTACAGCGTACTTTCAGGGTAAAGAAGAAAGAAGATGCAGTGACAGCATCTCTTATGACACACTAATTGCACACAGGTCCACGCATACTCAACTTCCATCCTCAGAAAACAGGTATTTTAATGAATGAATGCTCACTGCCAACATGAGCTGCCCACGGTGCTCCAGGGAGATCAGTGAAATCCCACTCTGTCCCAGCCTGACGTTACCAAGTTGCATTTAGTTCTGAACGTACCACTAATACCCATATGAAAAACACACATTTTGCATTAAAGCCACCAGAGATCCTTTTTCAGCTGACTCCCCTGGATGCACCTGAAAACACACTTTATGACTCTGAAATCACAGAGCGAGTGAAGCCTGAGTTCTATATCCTCATCTCATGTTTCTCATAAAGCCCAAAGGAAGGGGAGGAAGCAGCGAGAGGGGAAGAATCCCTACTTTGTTCTCCTATATATTATTTAAATGCCTTGAGATTGAATTCATATACATATTGGAGAAACATGAATGTAAGTTTCTCAGTGCTATCATTCATTAACCGTGATGCAACAATTTTGCCCCAGCACCATTAAAACTCCATCAGCACCTTGTAAAAGACCTGCTGATATCTTTACAGTGCCTTAAACGTTAGAGACCTGAAAACCAATTTCCAGACACTGCTCATTTTGGCGCAGAGCTCTCGGTAGCCATCAGCCAGCCAGCAGTGCTGGAAGAATCCTGATTCCATATTTCCACTCCTCAAGACCTTGGAGCCTATGGGAGTCAACCTGCTTGGCAAGAGAAACGAGCATCCTCCAAAATGCCCTACAACCCAGAGCTGAAATGCCTCCCAATGAGACACCCAGCTCGTCTTCCTGCACAGCAGTGATTCTCAATGCAGGAGTGCTGGGAGGAAGGAGCAGCCACACTCCTCCTACGGTGACATTTGTGCATGCCAGGAAAATGAAGTGCTGTGCTCGTGCTGGCTCTGCATGTCCCCATGCCCAGGAGAACCAGACACTTTGAGTGCATGCTGCTGCTCTGCATTTTGCATGCATTTTGCATGCAAGCTGCTCTGAACAACGGGGCTTCAAGTCTGGTAGGAGCTGCATCTATGTCACGTTGGCTCAGACGTGGTGACACAAAGGGTCAGAACTCATCTGGTCTCTTTGTGAGGCTGATGACAACAGACACCATTTTGCAGGACTACAGAGCCCTGAACTCTGCGGTGCTCTGAGAGTTTTCATGACAACGAGCAAAGATCTTCAGTGCAGCGACTGTCACAGTGAGTTAGTGACATCTTGTGTGAGGAGGAAAGAAAAGGAGACAAAATCAATGCTGCTTTGGGAAAGCTCTGAGATCAGCAATCAGGATCTGATCTGTTAGCAGCTGCCTCAGAAGCTTCAGACAGGATGTCTATAAGCTTCTATGCTATCAGCCCTTCTGCTGAAAGGTTCCAATTCTCAAGAGTCCATTAAATAAAGAAAAAGAGAGGGAAAAACACTCCTCCCCCAAAATATGAAACAAAATACACTGTCATGAGCAGGGCTGTGCATAGAAACTGTTGTGTATTTTCACCTTCAGAGCTGTGAGGCCACACTCACACGGGTGGATGGTGATAGGACAAGGGGGAATGGTTTTAAATGAGACAGGGGAGGTTTAGGTTGGATATGAGGAGGAAGTTTTTCCACCAGAGGGTGGTGAGGCACTGGAACAGGTTGCCCAAGGAGGCTGTGGATGCCCCATCCCTGCAGGCATCCAAGGCCAGGCTGGATGTGGCTCTGGGCAGCCTGGGCTGCTGGTTGGTGACCTGCACACAGCAGGGGGTTGGAACCAGGTGATCATTGTGGTCCTTTTCAACCCAGGCCATTCTGTGACTCTGTGATTTTGGGATGCAGAAGAAACCAAGAACACAAAGTCAGACACACGCTGCCATCAGTTGCCCTGAGTTGCACCCAGGAGAGAAGGGGCTGCCAACCTTGCAGATAAGTGTGGTGACACTTTCAGCAACTCCACGTCTCACGTCCCACCCGCAGCTCCTGACCCACTGCTGGGTTTAAATGCACAGCTGCAAGAAAGCATTTCAAAACAAACAAACAAACAAAACAGTGGCAGGGAGCAAAGAGAAAGCATCGGGAGAGCCGATCCCATACCTTTATGCAGGTTCTCCAGGGGCTCCAGGATCCCCCTGCGGAAGGAGGCCATGGGGTCCTGCACGCAGGAGCGGAGGCTCAGCATGCTCTGCAGGTGGGGCTCACGCAGCAGCTGCTCCCGATAGGCGACGAATTGGGGCGAGCGGCACAGCAGGGCGGCCACGTTGTGCACAAACTCGGGCACCAGGCAGGTGTAGGCGTTGTCTGCCTGGCAGTAGTGATAGGCGACGACCTGCAAGAGAGGGAAGGAAGGACGAATGCACCTCTGCCAGGGCTGGGATGAGCTGCTAACCACGGCACTGCGCGATTCTGATGCGCTCTGACAGGTGAGCTCTTTGAGCATCCCCTGCATTAAGTGCCCGTGACAAGGATCCAGATGAACCGCTGGGTGCAAACTGGCACTGATGCTGAGAATGGCTGGAGCGGTGAAATTCTGCTGGTGCTGCTCCCCAGACAGGCACTGACAGCACTCCCAGCTCCACGTAGCAGCTGGAAAGGGCTTGGGATTGCTTTCTTCCACTTACTTCTTGCTGGCTGCTCCCCAGTGCTGGGTGCTGAGAGGCCACTGCATGGCTCCTGCTGCACGTGATGGATCTCATGAACAATGAGAACACAGTGCTGTGCATCACCCATCCACCACCATGCAGCTCTTCATTCAGAAAATATAGGGAAAAGATAGAAGAAACCTTCTTCTTCTCCTAGATAACTCATTTTCCCAGGTCTTCACAATCTGCTGGGCTACTCCTTTGAGCATCACACCTAAATACATGTGCCTAAGCTCTACTGGATACTTCACAACAGAATTTTTGCTACTGTGTACCCAGTGCATCAAGCCATAATAAACGCAATGATTTCCTTCTCATTTATTTGGGGATTAAAACTGATTCCTGCAGTATGAAGGTCTTGAACCTCCCTCCCTTGATGATGTGTTCCTGGTAACAGAAACCAAACTCCTACATGCAGAGCTCTTAGCTCCAGCACAGTATGCAGACCCAAAAATGAAGGCTACTTCATTATGAGAGGCTCGTTAGCTTTATCCAGGAGCCTAAGGAGCCACGTCATGGGAAAGGGGACAGGACTGTCCTTGGAGGGCACAGTCAGTGCTAAATGTGGGGACACGTCTCCTTCTTCTGGAATACACCCACAGTTACAGCACAGCTCATGGGAACCCATTACATCCACTCCTGATACTCGGGATGGAATTATCAGCACATTGATGGTTGCCTGTAAGATCAATGCAGTGCTTAAGGGGTGGATTTGAAGATGCACCTGTAAGCAAAGAGGACATCAGAAGGGCCCTAAAGGAAAGGCACTATGATACTCTCAGAAATGCAACTGCACAATGTCAGCTAGATGGTATTTATTTTCCACGACATTTTCTCCATTTCAAACCCAAAAGAGACTGCCAAAAGTGAGCGTGGTGCTGGGAAGCAGGCTCCCTGCCTATCTCAGAGCTGCCTGCCAAGCAGCTCTCTCATCCTACAAACTCCCAAAGCTTTCAAAATGTTTCCCTGCTCCACCTTCAGGAACAAGAACTGGGTTTTACATGAAAAACCAAAGGAGAAGACCTCAGGATAACCTAAAACGAATGCTCCTCTGGCTGTAATTCCAACTGTAACAACAGCCTCACTCACCCAGACAAGCCATGAGCACATCCAAGAACTAAAAACAAGAACCCACCTAAACTGGAAATGAACAACCCATTGAAAAAGGTGTGTGCTCTCGATACAAGCCTCATTTTCTGGAAACCTCATTTCTTCGCTGTAAAAAAAACTTTGCTGAACTGCTGAGAAGTCTCCAACCAGCTCCTGTCATAAACAAAAACCTTGAATTTAACATTTCATCTTATCTGGAAAGTGTTACAACAAAGGAAATCACCAGGGAACAGCCTGCTCTCCCAAAGACACCGGTCTGCCTGATGCCCAGTGAGTCTGCCTTCGCTTCAGCATCACCTTTGACAAATGATGTTCACCAAGCTGGAAGCTGTGAAGTTCCTTGCTCCAATTACTGCCTCAGACATGAGTGTATGGTGCCTACAAGGAGTCCGACTGCAAAATAAGTGGATTACTATGAAAGATGGGAAAATAACAAGTTAATCAAGAGAACCAACACAACCCGGCAGTCAGTGCTCCTCCACCACTGGCAAATGTGCAAAACTCTCCGAGTTGGGAAGGAGACATACATCACTGTGCAATGGCTTCACACCATTCTGAGGGTTCTGAGGATGGAGCTCCATCTCTTTCGAACACAAATCTTCTGATTCTACTGCTCTGAAAGGGATCTCTTAGAAACAGCAAAAAGAAAGCAAGTGAAGACTTGGTCTGCAAGGACGACTTTCCTAACATCATTTGGCTCCCAGTGCGTTGGCTGCACACCAAAGAAGCACACTTATCACGAGTTTTTAGGCTTTTTTTTTTAATATTAATGATGTGTTATAAGGCTTGAGGAACAGCAGACACGGGGAAGGCAGACACTGCCTCTCATGGTCCATGGCTTGTGGGTACCAACGCAACACAACCCCTGCTGATATGGGGTCAGGGAGCACCTGAACCTTCCCTTCCTCAGGAGAGTCACACTGACTCATCTTCCTAACTGTGAATGCAGAATTAAGAAGTAAATTATCCACGTAGTCTTCAGGCATTAAACCCAGAAAGCCTTCTGTCCCCATTTTTCCCAACACCAGCCATGCTCTTCTCTCCACCACGCCATTCCCCACGCCTCCCTCTACCCCAACTCCCACACCCATCACAATCCAGACTGCCTCTCCTCTGCCCTGCTTTGCTCCCTCCTCACTCACCCTCTCCAGGATGCTGTGTTTGTTATCCAGCCCAGCCCAGCAGAAGTGATTTCTTCCCTGTCCTTCCTGCTCTCCCTGCCCCTCAGCCCTGCACGCTGCTCGCTGGGGCTGCGCTCCCCATTTCAGCTGCTTTGTGCAACATGGGTGTTAAGCTTTACTGAACCCAAAGGGGATTTTGGTTCAGCTGAGAAAGAATTGCATGCGAGGAAGAAGAAAAAAAAAAAGAAGATTTCCTCATATAGATCGGATCTACGAGAACAGCTATTTGAAGAAAAAGGATGACACGTTAAAAGCAGCGCAGCTATTCCAAGAGTAACAGAAGATGCTGTTGGAACAGGAGGGAGAGCTATGGGAAAGCAGCAGGAAAAGGGCAGGAAGGGCACAGAGCAGGGAAAATGAGGATCAGAAGAGATTGTGCATCGCCTATAAAGCACAAAGGAGCAAAGAGAGTGAGCTGGGGGAGAAAAGAGGAGAGCTTGGGGGGACGGACCAGGAGCAGGAATATGGAGCTGGGAGGGCAGTATGCATCAAAGGAGAAAGGGGCTGAGATGGCTCAGGGGAAACAAGTTATTTTTACTTAATAGGACAGGCCAGTTCAAAGGAGCTCTCTGGCACTATTTGTGACAAGTAAGATCCTCCCTTTCAGAAGCATTCCTTTGCCACCACGCTCTGCTTGCCCTGTCTCAGCTCCCTCCTCATGGCTCCTCCATCCTCCTCCAGCCCCACCAGCCTGAAAGGACAAACCCCACTTCCCTGCACCCACAGCAACCCCCCCCCCAGTGCCCCCCTGCTCCCAACCAACTGCTTCAGCACTGCATTCTAACCACATTTCTGCCCCTAATAAGACTGATCTCCTTCTGACCCATACAAAACAGCTTCGAGTCGATGTGCTTCCACCTGCCAAGAGGCCGCCTGCCACTCAGAACGTTGGCTGTCATCGTATAAATAGAGATCAGCACGGCTGTGTTTTATTCACTGCACATGAGCGTGTGTGGATGGGGTGACCCACTTTATGGGGAATGCTCATTACTTTTAGATAGCTGAGTTTGCCAGCAAATGCCCTCTGAAGCTCATTAATGTCACAGGGCTCAGAGGAACGAATCCTTCCACCTCCACACGAGGTGGGAGGGCTTCTTTCTTTCCATAGCCCACAGCAATGGTAGTGATGCTCTGACTTACGGCTGGAAGGAAGTCAGCAGTGTGCTCAGCATCAGCAGATGCAATGAAAAAGCAGCTCCCCAGCTCTGTGTATGGGATAATCCATTAGTGCTGTGCTGTCTTTCAGGCTCATCTGTTTAAGTGCTGCACCCACAAGCAGCCAGCCAGCAGCCAGAAACACGGCAAAGATGGCTTTCAGTGGTTATTTAAACCATGTAATGAAGCCATCAACGATCCAGTGTGAATAAAGGACAACACCTTCAGGGATAAGGGGAAGTGATCCTAACCAGAGGGGACATGGCCACACTTCTCTCCTCCTGAGCTGAACCCATTGTGCTGTGGCTGTCAGCCCTTGCTGAGATGCAGAGGTCAGTGGATGCAGCTCTGTGCTGCTCAGACACTGCTGGGCTCCTGCTGCTGAGCTGAAGCACCAGCTGAATGTAACCCAGGAACATTTGGGGTTGGGGAAGCTGTGCCACACGGACTGAGCCACCCCATTCACTTACCCCACTCGGAGGAAGTGAAGTTTGAACGTACTGCAATGGAGGAGAGTAAAAAAATAGGAAGGAAAAGGTACAAAAAGCAGAGGTGCAGAGCACATCTTGGATTTGAAAGCCTTGCAATTTCATAGAATTATAGAATCTCAGAATGGGCTGGGTTGAAAAGGACCACAATGCTCATCCAGTTCCAACCCCCTGCTATGTGCAGGTCGCCAACCAGCAGCCCAGGCTGCCCAGAGCCACATCCAGCCTGGCCTTGGATGCCTGCAGGGATGGGGCATCCACAGCCTCCTTGGGCAACCTGTTCCAGTGCCTCACCACCCTCTGTGTGAAAAACTTCCTCCTCATATCCAACCTAAACCTCTCCTGTCCCACTTTAAAACCATTCCCCTTGTCCTATCACTATCCACCCTCAGTAAACAGTTGTTCCCCCTCCTGCTTATACGCTCCCATCAAACACTGGAAGGACCTTTCAAATACTGGAGCAACCTTGCAGTTGCTCTGTGCAATCAGACAATACGTTTACAAGCACTGAGGAACCCAGACGAGTTTAAGAACAACACAGAGCTCTGCTCTGCCATGCTCAGCTCACCAGAACACTGCTGTGCATCTCCTGCAGGATGAGCCCAGGCTGGGCAGCCTTCCTGGCACTGCTGAGATCTGGCAGCTGCTCCGTGGCAGAGGGCTGCCTTCAAATGCATTCAGCAGCCCTGTGAACTTATTTCCATAACGTGTGCATATATATATTTGAACAAAAGGCCAACCAAGCACGCAGCCAGGAATGCTCATGTTTCATGTGCAAGTGTCAGGGTGGGTGCTGCAAGTCAAGAAGCTTTGCTTGTGGCTTCTGAGTCTGCCAGATCTGGCAAGACAAACTCTGCCATCCTCCCTCTTTAAGGCACAGACTGCTGCAGAGGGCAGGGATGGAGTGGAGATGGAAGAGGGACTTTGCTGCCCAGCAGGCTGCACTTTCTCATGGCCAGGGGGCGTCTGTTGCCCTGCTGCCTCCGCTCCTCTGGGGCTGGAGGGGAAAAAGGGCTCAGTGCCAGCAAAGTTCCCAGCAAGAGGATTAATGCTGCCTTTAAAAAATATATTGGGAAATTGACAGAAATCTCTGCCAGGAAGCAATTAAAATTACCATATATTTAATATTGCTAATCGAGTTGTGCTGCTCTTGGTATTTCCTGGTGCATTTCTCCATCCCTCTCCAAACAGCAGCACCCAACACAATGCCAAATGCAGCCTGGGATGGCAGCAGGACTTGGAGCTTTGCTTTTCCCTTAGCAGTCCTGTGAGTCCCACCAGCACCAGGCTGCAGTGCTTACACAGAGCATCGCTGCACTTCCAGCACTGATCCCTTGGGGTGGCAATTACACCACTTCCACTTACAGCATCTCAGGAGGACGGAGGGGTAGGGGGAGAAACGACAAAAGGAACAGAGCAATCTCAGTTTTAAGCTCCTTGTTTTCTTTCATTCTTCCAAGAGAAACTGCTGCAGCCCCCAGAGAGCATCTGACCCTTCCTACCACGACTGCTGCTCACACAACAGAACCCATTCCTGATCCAAGGGAAGGCAGTGATACCATGAATCCAACCAGCAGGGCTGGGGGGACAGGACTTGGCCCACTGCTCGTGATGGCTTTTTTCCTCCTAGGAACCACTGGCAAGAACTTCAAGTGATCCCTAAATGAGTTGGGGTTGGTTTGTTTGTTTGCAGGGTGGAAAGCACCCAGTACTTATTTTGTACATCAGTTCATTCCTAAGCATTCTGCTCCTCTGTCAGTGTGCTGGTGAACACCAAACCTGAGGATAAGGCAAAAAAATGCTCTTTTCCAGCGTGGCAAAGAGGCAGAGAGGAGCCTTAGCAGTGCTCCTGCTGGTGGGCTGCAGGCACTTCTTTTTCACATTAATCATTTGCTCATCTCCAACAACGAGAGCGATGAGCAAACCTCAGCCCAAGGAACTCACTGCGTGAAGAACAGACAGCCAAGTCCCACCCTGAGCATCCAGAGGAGGAAAAGCAACTGTTCTCCTGTCATTCCTGCCACCAGAAGCACACAGCTCCTGAATTTGGGGTCGGTGACATTTTCAGAAGGAAGGGAGTGGGCGCTTCCCACCAGCATGCTGCTCCTTCAGCCTCCCCCAATATCAGTAATCCCCTCTCGTGCCCACCTGCATTTCTCTGACACGATGACCACTGCACAGCCTGGGAAGCAGAACATGCACACGCTGTTATCTACCTCCTCACATATGATTTGTATCTCCTAAAAGACTCCTGCTGACTGCAGCTGTCCATCACTGTCACCACTTTCTTTCTCCCTTCAATTCCGACCCGTTCCATTAAAGCAGCAACTACAGAACGTGTGTGCAAGAACTGTTCTTCCAACAGCCCAACCTAAGGGCCACCCTTTCTTCTACTCTGCTCTTGTGAGGCCCCATCTTGGAGTACTGGGTCCATGTCTGGAGCACCCAGTACAAGAAAGACAGGGAGCTGTTGGAGAGGGTCCAGAGGAGCCACAAAGATGAGCAGGGGACTGCAGCACCTCCCCTATGAGGACAGGCTGAGGGAGCTGGGCTTGTTCAGCCTGGAGAAAAGAAGGCTGCGGGGTGAATCATTGCAGCCTTTCAGTACCTAAAGGGAGCCTACAAGCAGGAGGGGAATCAACTCTTTGAAAGGGTGAGTGACAGCAGGACAAGGGGAAATGGTTGGAAGTTGAGGGAAGGGAGATTTAGGTTGGACGTCAGGGGGAAGTTCTTTACAGAGAGAGTGGTGAGGTGCTGGAACAGCTGCCCAGAGAGGCTGTGGATGCCCCGTCCATCCCTGGAGGTGTTCAAGGCCAGATTGGATGGGGCCCTGGGCAGCCTGGTCTAGCATTGGGTGGGATGATTGGTGGCCCTGCATGTGGCAGGGGGGTTGGAGATTCACAATCCTTGAGGTCCCTTCCAACCCTGGCAATTCTGTGATTCTGTGATTCTTCAGCCAGTGGAACAACAAGAGCCTTAAGCAGGCTACCAGGAATCCGTATTTTATTCCTCAGCTCCTGATGCAGGAATGTGTTCTGCTCTCCCTTTCTCCTGAACCAGAGCATTTCCCCTTTTCTTTTTCAGATGGGGCCCTGGGCACAGAGTTGAGCTTAGCAGTGTGAGTGTTTTCCTGCCCTGTGGGAGCACGTGGCCTCAGACCCTCAGATGCCTTTAACCACAACTGCTGACCGACACCATTAGGGCCATTTGCTCTTTTTCAGATTTCAGCACCTTCAAAGCCTCGAGCAACCAACACATGTCTGTGATTTCTCAATGGCAACTCAGACACGTGTGACCGAGTTTCCGACCGAGGGGATCACACACACAACAAAGAGCTCAGAACTGTTATTTTAATGGATTTTCAATTACGTTGCCAGGTCAGTAATCCTTTTTCTCCCGGTGTCACTCAGAGACTTCAAAACCTGCAGCTGTGGAGGAACAGGCAGTGTTTGTTTTATCTGGGAGGACATCATACAGCACTGCTCCTCCTGAGCAAACCCATTTATCTGCTGCTGACCGCAGGCATCCAGCAGTGCTGGTGCTGAGCTCTGCCCTGGATGTTACCAGGAGTGCATCACAACCTCCAGCCACCCCTTTGACCAACACCCTGGCCCATTTCATTTGCCTTTACTTCCCTTCCTGAGGCTTGCTGATCCATCAGGCTGTGTCTGTGGCACACTGACTGCTCTGATGCAATAAAACCAGAACTGCTTTTGGGATGGAACTGAAACACAGAAGGTGAGAGAAACCAAACCTCTAAGCCTGCTACATTTTCAGTACAAGTCTGTTTGTGATAGGATGCCATGTTTTGAATCAGGATTTGAACACATGCTGAATTGCAGTGGCTCCATACAACCCTGTGCGGGGTTGGAGCCCAATGACCTGCAAGTCCCTTCCAACCAAAGCCACTCGATGGCTCTGTGCTGCTGAAGCACGACCTGGAAGACAACCAACCACTCATCATATACCCTTCCCAACATCAGACACCCAAAGATGGTTGGCTGCATGGATCACTTCTCTATCAGTAACAGGGAAGCAGAGCAGGCCGAGGAGATGCTGATCTCCAAGGAGCTCACTGAGGCTCACAGCAGCACTGGGAATGGACCCCAACCTCCTGTGTGGAGCTACAAAGCCTCCCCAAGTTCCTGTGTGCTGTGTCAGCCACCTGAACACCAGAAGCCACCCCCAGAAGCCCCAGGTCAGCTCATCATCCCTGGCATCCACCTGCTCAGGGCAGCCTCACATTGGAAGGAAGCAGTGACATTTACTTCTGGAATCTGTCTGCGTTTGCAGCACTGGAGGCTGACTGGGAGATGAAGAATTGCAGAGCTCTGCAGTCCTGCAGCGAGCACCAGAGGTGGCACATCTCCCCAACCTTTGGCTGTGGGATGAATGGGGCTTTAAAACCACTTCCTAAAGGGGTGTGCAGCCAAGCTATTTTAACTTTACATTCTGGCTATGAAGATTGTTTCTTACTTTTTTTAAGCAGTGACCAGAGATGTAAAAAAGCTTCAGTGCATCTTTTGTGCTCCGGCTATGACACACAGCTTGAAAAAGCCATGTCCCTCACCTTCTTCAGTGGGAAACCGAAGCTAAAACTGTACCCATTTATCAGTTATGTATCCAGCAGGATTACTGAAGCACTCGGGGGAAGAAAGTCTGGACAGATTAGGTGCTTGAGGCAGAGATAGCACGCACTGCTGCCTTCTGGCAGCCTGTAATGGTGAAGATTGACAAGAAGCACGATGACTAACACGCTCTGAATGAAAGCAGAGCTGCCCGCTGCATTCCTTTCAAGAGCTCCATGTGGAAGAGGAGAATATCAAGTCCCAGTATTTATTTACACAGCAATCGCACGCTCTCTGCCTTTGCCATCTGGGTGCAGCAGAAAGCAGACAGCACAAGACAGTATCTGGCTCTGAAAGCCAAGCAAAACACGTCCCGGTGGTGACGGAGAACAAAGACTTTGCTTGGTATTTTCCTCTCCAAAGGGGAACAGGCAACAGGAAAGCATCACTGCTCACATCCTCCAAACCCTGGGGGAGGAGCAGGCCCCTTGGATTTCACAGCAACGCAATGGCACCTTCCCACCATCACAAAATAGGGCTAAATCCCAGGATCACAATGAAAGACGAGCTGCACAGCTCACCTACACTAACACCACTACGTACAACCTGCACTTATCAGAACACCAAGGCATTTGTGTATTGCTCACAAAAGGCTGGGATCTGTTCTGCATCATCCATGTGCAGCCCATGCAGTCTGCTCCTTTACTGCTGTTTGAAACCCACCCCTTTCAAAGGGAAGCCATCTGCTTTCCACTGCTGAAGAAAAGCAATGGTCCCTCTGGCAGCTGTGCCATCCCACAGCACATCCGCTATTGTAATGGTGGCTGGAAAAGGTCAAGTCTCAGAATTAGGAGTGAGTGCACTCGATGTAATGGGAATTCCCTCCTACAGAAGAAACTTTCTGAGGGTAATAAAACTCCTTCCAGTTCTTCCTCTCTGCTCCCCCAGTACGCTTTTGAATGCGCACTTTTCCCAGCTCCCAAAGCGATGCAGGACAGGACAGCTTCCCAGAGACCCCATGACAACAGAGAGGTTCCCAAGGCCTGCAGCCATCCCAAATGTTGCCATACCTGGGAAGCGAGCCTCCGCATGGCCTCCTCCTGGCGCCGGCGCATCTCGGGGGTCCCTGGGCAGCTCCCACTGGCGATGGAGGAGTGAGCAGAAGGCGGTTGGGTTAAGGGCAGCTCTCTGTTTGCATCCACATCTGTCTCAAAGAAAGAGGTTAGGAACTGCTGAGGGATGAGCACAGCCAACAGTCGTCACGCTGGTACTTCCAGCAGTTTGTTCATGGCAGTGGTACCTTCCACCAATGCTCTGCTCAGCACTATGGGGGAAGGTGACACCTCCAGGCAGCACAGAGCTCCTGGGGAGCTTTCTATTGGAAGCTGGATGGGAAGAACTAAGATAAAGCTTTAAGCTCATCATCCTCATCTTCTCCAGTGTAACTTCATTGATTTAAATCACAATGAGTGAATACAACACTCATGGAAGTATGCTCTACCTTTGAGTTTGGGCTATCTCAGAGCTCTCCCTGCTCTGCACTTTGGCTAACAGGCCTTCCTTTGTTACAACCCATCACTCACTCATTTGGTCCTTCTTGAATGGAGACAGAAAATTGCTCTGAATGATGTGCCAATTTTATAGCATATATCAACAGCATGCCAGAGCCAATGTTTCCTCTGAAGGCCACCAGTGCTATTAGAGGGAGAGAAGCAAGAGCAGCACCATGTCCTGGACAAGGCTCACAAGCAAATAATGAATTATACTGGGATCACCTCTGCCAGATGTGATCTGCTTCTTATTGCATTTTAACCATTTCTCTTGCATTTTAGAAAAGCAGAAAGCTTTAAAAGCACAACAGTTCACTCACCTGGCCTTTGTGGTTAACATTTCCAAACCACTTATCTTCACACTCATAGCTACTCAGAGTATTACTGAATGACATTGAGACATGCAGAACTTGGTGATGCCTCATTACTGATTTATTAGTTACAGGAATGCTTTAAAAGCAGCAACCTGAAGCACAGACTGCACTGGCAGAGGACTGGCTTGGATGGATTGCTGCAATGCATCCTTGAGCTCAACCTGAAATCGTAATGGAAACAATGACCCACTTAATGGCCAACAAGGAAGGAGGATGGCTGCTGCCTACACACAACGGAAGCAAAGATGCACAATGTCAATTTTGAGCACGCAACACTACCTTCACCTGCACTGCTTTTCCGAGCCAGGAATTAGTGGCATGAGGCTGCATTTATTCCAGTTTGCTCATGCTGATAACACAAGTGCTGCAGTACAGTCAGGGCACCCAATGAACATTTGATTGCTCAACATAGACACTGCAGAGCGTTACAGACTTCTTTCAGCCTGTGAAATCAGTAGAGCAGTTCTTATCTTCTAGAGCTACACTCGGGGCCTGCAGAGGCTTCAGGAAATAAAACTCATCAACTGAATGATTCTACAGCCCTCACCCCAATGACTGACACCAAGGAATCACTCAGCTTTACCCTCATGGGCACACCTGAGTGTGAACTCAAGGGCTGCACTGGGTGAGCGAGGATCTCCGTCCTTTGTGCATGAAGGGTACGGGCTGCTTTCAGTGCAATAATCTTTTAAATCCCTCAATCCTTCCCAGCAGACTGGGGAGGCTCTGCTCTGCAGAGTTACAGCTAAAATATAGAAACCAGGCCTGCCTTTCACCCTGCTTTGCTGGGTTAGTGCTGACAAGTGGCACCGAGCGGCGACATCTCACATATCTCTCCATGGCTCAGAGCACTGGATTCCAGTAAACAGATTTAACTACAGTGTCCCTGAGATACAGTGACCTAGATCCCTGAAGATGTCATTAGGTACAGAACCTGGTACTTTTAGTCCTGTCTTATTCGCTTACTGGGAGCAGAGTGGTTGGAAAATGCTGCCATCCCCACCTGCAAACTGGATGGGACTGGGAGGCAGAGCAGCCCTGGCTGTCAAACCCACATGGGGTTCTACAGCATCACACACTGAGTCTGCATGGGAATGGAGGAGAGCAACAAAATGAAAGAATGGCTTGGGTTGGAAGGAACCTCAAAGATCACTGGGTTCCAAACCCTGCCACAGCAGGGCCACCAACCTCCAGTTCTGGGACTGGAGCAGCTGCCCATGGCCTCATCCAACCTGGTCCTGAAGAAAATCCTCAGGGAGGATTTGTAATCATAGAGTACCTACAAGTAGCAGTAGAGTCTTTCCGGTGGGAGAAAATCTGTGGTCCTTCTAAGGCAGGGAATAAAGAGACAGCTATTCTGACCCTTCACAGAGTACACATGCATCACAAATAGTACAAACATTCCTGGCAGCTGCTTTCTTTGCTCTGCAACAAAGACTAAACTGAAGGAGAATGGGATCTTCTTCCTTAAGAAGTAAACAGACGAGGGTTAGGGTTGGGGGTTAGGTTAGGTTAGGAGATCAGGTTAGGATTAGAATCAGGTTAGGTTAGGGTTAGGTAAGGGTTAGGGTTAGGGTTAGGGTTAGGGTTAGGGTTAGGGTTAGGGTTAGGATAGGTTGTTAGGGTTAGTGTTAGATTAGGGTTGGGTTAGGGTTTGATTTGTGTTAGGGTTAGGTAAGGGTGAGGGTTAGGGTTAGGATAGGTTGTTAGGGTTAGTGTTAGGTTAGGGTTAGGTTAGGCTAGGGTGTGGTTAGGGTTTGGTTATGTTAGGGCTAGGTTTATGGTTAGTTTAGGGCTAGGTAAGGGCTGGGGTTATGGTTAGTTTAGGGCAAGGTAAGGGCTAGGTTAGGTTAGGGTTAGGCTCAGAGTTAGGTTAGCGTTAGGTGAGGTCAGGGCTGTGTTAGGAGGTTTAGGTTAGGTCAGACGAGGTTAGGGTTTGGTTAGGTTAGGGTTAGCTTAGTTTAGGGTCAGGGTTCGGTTAGGGCTGCAGGCTTTGAAGAGCTGCACAGTGCCACACTTACGTTTGGGTGAGGCGTGCGGGCTGTCGGATGCGATCTGCCTCATGCGAGTGCCGTGGCAGCTGAGCGCCACCAGCCTGGAGATGATGGCAGTCTTCCCAAAGCCGATGTTCCCCACGATCACCACACCGCGATTCACGCTGGCGTTGGAGCTCTGCAGCTGGGCATCGATCTCATGGAACACCCAGTCCCGGCCCACGAAGACGGATTCAGTGGTGATGCTGGGGACCTCGAAGAGCAGCGGCTTCAGGGAGATGTCTGGAGGTCGGTAGGGTGCAAAGCGCACTGCAAACAAACAGCGGGACAGAACCATGTGTTAATGCTAACTGAGCCTAACTACTGACCTGATCGCTGCTTGCTGGGCATCTTTTCATTGCAAGAGGGAAAAAGAATAGAAGCTAGGACAGACATTCCTTGCAGCTGCTTCATTTGCTCTGCAACAAAGGCTAAATTGAAGGAGAATGGGATCTTTTCCACTAAAAACATCACAGAAGTGGATGGACAAAGAAGAGAAGGCTCCAGGGAGACCTCATTGTGGCCTTCCAGTACTTGAAGGGAGAGTATAACAAGAGGGAGAATGGATGTTCATGAGGGTAGATAGTGATAGGACAAGGGGGAATGGTCTTAAAGTGAGACAGGGGAGGTTTAGGTTGGATATGAGGAGGAAGTTTTTCCACCAGAGGGTGGTGAGGCACTGGAACAGGTTGCCCAAGGAGGCTGTGGATGCCCCATCCCTGCAGGCATCCAAGGCCAGGCTGGATGTGGCTCTGGGCAGCCTGGGCTGCTGGTTGGTGACCCTGCACATAGCAGGGGGTTGGAACCAGGTGAGCATTGTGGTCCTTTTCAACCCAGCCCATTCTATGATTCTATGATTCACTCTATGATTACCCGTGGGTTTCCTGGCACAAGTTATTAGCTCCTCCACAGCATTTTCCATCAAAGGAGCTCAGGCAGTTTGACAGCAGAGGACAGTTTACAGGTGGGAAAAGAAAGGAAATCCTGCATTCCAGGGCACCACAAGTGAAGGCACTGCCCCAGGGTACACAGTTCTGCAACAGCTTCCCATCCCTTGGACATCCTCAGATCAACCTCAGCAGTGCTCCTCCCCCCTTCCAACACTTGTACACAACAATGGGATCTTCCCATGTGACAATTAGAGCAGTTTATTTTTTCATGATGGAAACACCAAATGCAATTCAATCTCCCCACATGGGTCATGCTTTAAAAATGCACACTGAATCCAACCACCTCCCCATGATGGGCTGCTCTTCCCCATCTGCAGCACTCGTAATTGGCGCGATTAATTAAAGCTGCACCGTTCAACCTAAGTACAAATACAGCTTCAGCTATTTGCTTGTGTCATATCTTACTACAGAACAAATTTTCTCCCTGTTCCAGCACTGTGACCTCACAGCAGCAGGTCTTCCTCCATCCTCCAGGCAATGCACTCTCTCAGCTGCTCGTGGCTCAGAGCAGGAGCCTGATGAAACAACTTATGGTAGGGAACCTGCTTCAGCAGGGGGTTGGCCTCTCCTCTGAGGTCCCTTCCATTCTGTGATTATCACAGTTTAGCTGTGTGTGTGTGCATTTCTGCTTTAGATGGGAGATGCAAAAGCAAATCCTAGTGGTGCTGCAGTTAGTGAGGAGCACAGGAGGCAACCCTGACCTGCCACACACACTGCAGCACCAACAGCCAGAAATGCAGAAGCTGGCTGGGCTCACTTCCCCAGTTCTGTATGCACGCTCATCTTTTGAAAAGGTCCTCAGAGCCTAGCAGGGGGAGGGAGGAGGAATTCAAGTGCATCCCCTTGGCAATCAAGGGAAAATCAGAAGCGTTTGTGGGTTAATTAATTCCTCTGAAGGTAATGAAAGAGGGTTACAAATGGCTTCATTGCATCCGGAATCTTTTCATCTCCGTTTAAAAGAGGCACGAAGCACCAAAAAAGCAGCCTGCTATATTTTGTTTTTACCTAATGACTTGGCCACTGCTGGAGTTTGTTTCCATGATGAAATTAATACCGTCATTTGTTTCTATGGGCTGCCAGAGTCAGGGCAGCTGGGGGCATTACTCAGCTCTGCATCCCGGATCAGCCCATGGTGGGGGGTTGGAAGCAGCTGATCTTTAAGATCCCTTCCAACCCAACCATTCTTGGGCAGGCACAGGGACTGCTGTGTGGTTTCTGCTGCTGCCATGCTCAGCTCTTGGCTTTGTATCCGTTCCACCTTTGGATTATCATCAAGTGAATAACTAAAACTAAACCAGTCTGGAAACCTTTGCAGGAACATTTGGGGGTGGAGGGAGAAGGTATCTGCCGTTCTTTCCACTCAGTGCAAGCTATCTAGGGAATGCAGACCTAAAAAAAGCAGGAACTCCACACCAACCTGATGCCAACCTGGGAACAGAAGGATCAACTCATACGGCTCGTTCTGCCTGGAAGGTCTGTAACTGGAGATGATACATATATACCCAAAAAAGAAACGGATGGAAGCACTTTGTGCTGGCACAGACAGCTGCTGCTCCTTCACACTCTATTGCTGAGATGATTTCTTCAGGGGAAACTTTGGGGAAGTGGCCACGCAGACAGCAGGTGACTGCTTTGGTTTTAAAACACGGAGGTCAGACTGGGGGTTGGTAACCTGCAGCTCTGTGCCCGTGCCTATGGGATGTGTGAGTGAGTGGGGATGGATGGCAATGCTCTCCTGAAAGCTGCATGGAGCCCATGCAGGTGTGAACAAATAGTCATCAGGTACCAAGCAGCTAATGAAGAGATGTCACTCATTAATCCTACCAGCTGTGGGACACAGTTTACGTGGGGGGCAAACAGATTTAAATCCCCATTTCTTTCCAGAGGTGAGGATGGGGGATGTGTGCATTGCCAACTGCTGCATCCCACAGAGACAAAGGCTGTCCTAAGATTGGACACGAATAGGCACAGCCCTGAAGAAGGCTCAACATGACCCCAGTGGAGATGTGCTCACTTGTCTGCCAAGTCTTGCAGCCCTATCAGCCCCCTGGGTCACTGCAGGGCAAGCCAGCAAGCCCCATGCAGAGGACCAGGCTCTAAGTGATGCAAGGCTCTGCTGAGCCACAGCTGCAGCCTCCACCAGCTTCATTCTGCAGTAGAACAACCAATCCCTGCTCTCAGAAGCTGAGCTGATAGCAAAGGACTGAACAACATGAAAAGGCTGATGAAGCAACAGGTCACAAGAGAAGGGGAAGCAGGGAGAGGGGAGGCAGCACTGCAGCTTCAACACTTGGGGCAGAAATTAATGAAAGGAACTCTGAAAAAGAGGCTCAGAAATGTAGGGTGAGGATGTGTGCACACATTTTGGATGAACTGTTTTAGCCCTTGAACTGATGTCAGCCCTTGTGAATAACCTGCCCTTCCCATCCCTAAAGCACTGACAAATGTTTGGTTTGTATTCATTTCCAATGAGGCATTTTGTAGAACTTAGGCTGGAAACACTCTGAACCTCTGATAATATCTTAACATAACTTAAACCCACATCCTTGTGGGTATCAAGAGTGGGACAGCACCAAATCTGGCAGCATCACATTTTCATGGCAGTGTAACAGCATCAGTGAAATACTGTGCAAGCTTTGGTAGATCCCAAGCAAAATATTCAACCCCAAGCTGAAGCACTGTCTGCCATATTTCTCCTGGCTCTCTTTTTTTTTTTTTTTGCAGCTGAAAACATCAATTAAATCCAAATGAAGTGGTTGTACTACAAGCACAACTGAACAAAACCCACTGGGCTGCCAACAAGCAGGAATCACAACTCAGCCTGCACCACGCAGGGCGTCCTCTGCTGCTCTGTGTAAGTTTGTGTTACCTTACTTTGCTGAAAGAACCTTCAATGCCTGTCCAGAAAACACTTGCTTTCTCAGAATGTGCTGACAACCAGCACCCACAGCTCATTATTTGTTTGGTATTTTGCTCCAGAAGCATTTGAGCTCCTGATGGAAATGCATCTTGCTGTCCAAAGGAAGCCCACGTGGGGCTGAGATGCACAATGTGGATATTGCCAGCATCTTGAGATGAAGCCCAGGCAAGAAGCACTTTAATATTTATTACAATGAAATGTGGTTCTGAATAACACAGTATCTATCAGCATCTAATGTGTTCTTTGGTAAATAGGAGCCCATAAATTAGCCAAATGTTGAATTTATTTCCTTTCCTTGCTTCAGACTGCAGCTTCTTTCAAGTGTCATCTTAAGTGTCTCCATTCATCACCATGAAACCTGTGCCTATTTTTCATGGACTGCATGCCTGAAAACGCTGGACTGTGCTGTAACAGACCCAAAAGGCTGCAGCACAGAATAAGCATCAAACTAAAAATCACAGAAAAGAGTTTAAGGGAAACAAATGCCATATGGTCTGTATTGGCCAACAGTCCTGGTCCATTGCAGCACCGAGTCTGGGCAACCCCACTTGATGGGCTGGTGGTTGGATTGGATGACCTCTGTGATCTTTTCTAACTTATTCTATGATTCCTGGAGTCTCCATGCCCATGAGCCTCCCCAGCCCAATGAGGTTCTCCCACTGCACCAGCAGTGCTATTTGGGGAGGAAAAGAAGTCCTGATGGCAGCAGCTGGGGTGCTCTAACACTGCACCACCTGGGTGCCATCAGAGCAGATCCCCAGCACCACCCTGTACTTTGGATTGAAAGGAGCCCAGGGCAGTGTGACCTACTGGACAGCATCAACCCACAGCAGGGGTTGGAACTGGGGGATCTTCAAGGTCTCTTTCAACCCAACCACTCTGTGCTTCTATTCCAGGTTACAGAAATCCATAAAGGCTTCAAATGGCGCTGGCTCAAAATAGCAACACCAAAAAGAACCTTCACCATCCTATTAAAAACCTGTCACGGTACAGACATTGTAATGCTCTTAGCCTTGGGGATTACATTGCAAAGTTGCTTTTCTGGTTCAAATAACTGACTTAGCAGCACAAAAAAAAAAAAAAACAGCTGAGATGGTCCCCATTTAATTCCTCTGCACTGGGATTCTTAAAGGCTGGGACCCAAATAAGTGGGCTGTGATGGATCTGCTGCACCCACAGCCCACTGGGTCCAAACCCACTGCCCCAACACGATGCCAAGAGTGGAGGCAGTGAAGCTGAACTCAAGTTTAGCATTTCCAGTTGGAACAAAGAGCTGGAGATTGCAGCAGTGCAGATCAATGCAAGCTCACAGAAATATCTGGGCTCTTTCCTATTTGGGGGGAAAAAAGCCAACCCCAAATAACGTTTATTCATTAAAATGAAAATATTTCCAAATAGTGCTGGCTTGATTTCTTCACGCCGTCTTCTCTCCCCTCCTCTTTTTAAAAATAGCACATTTTCTCCTCAACCAGAATCAGAAACAAGTTCCAAAAACCCAAACACTGCTGCTATTCCCATGCACCATGAACAAAAAGGGAAAACACACAAAGGAGGAGAAGAAAGAAAACACGCCGCGCCACGTTTCTCAAAAGTGCGTCTGGAAAACAACTTGATTCTGTTCCTACAATAAACTTCCATGTTTTGGATGCAATCACTGCAAATTACGAAGGCTTGGCAAGCTGCTCTGCTCGAACATATGGAAATTCTGTCTGTCAAAGCCTGCTTTCTGCTGCTCATCCATTTCTGCAACAGCCTCACCAGCCAAGATGATTTCATGACAGCCTGCGATCCAGCACAACACAAATGCTCTTCGCCCCACAACTGGGGGCTCGTGTGCTTTGTGCAGATCCCAGAGCTGCTTTCTCAGAGCAGGAATGGGAATTTTTACCCCTTCACCCTCAGCAGCAGAAACCAAAGAAGCCCCTGTGTGCTGCCCTCTGAGCCCCTTATGCTGTTTGCTCACTTGGTGATGGGAAGGAAGCACAAACTGGGGGATGTGCTGTGGCTGCAGGGCCACCGCTGCTCCCAGAGCTACTGGAAGCTAAAACCAGGAGTAACGGGATGGAAGGCACAGGGACACAGCTTTGCAGCAGTGCCAAGTCAATCTGGAATTAAATAGAAGGCAGAACTGCCAGCCCTGGTGCTTCTTCTCATTGCTGACAACCTTGTGTGGGGCTTGGCAGGAAGAAGCAGATGAGCATCCCCCCTCAAAGAGCAGCAAGAGGGATACCTGAATGCCACCTCTGTGAGCAACCCCTGCTGCAGGGAGCGACCCCAAAGGGAGCGAGGGGAGAACTCCCAGCACTCCAAACAAACCCAGCGCTCAGAAACAGAGGGATGTCGAGGAGCAAGCGGGGAGAGGAGCTTGGGAACCACCTGCAGGAGCATCCACACATTCCAGGAGCGCATCCCCCATCCGGCACAGCGACACACAGACACACGTGGCTCCTCATCCTACCTCGCAGGTCCTGCTGTGTGCGGGCTCCAGCCACGCTCTGCCGGGGCATGCGGAGGGAGGTGCGCAGGGGGGTGTGCCGCTGCTCGTCCAGGTATGCCAGGTCCTCCAGGTGGGCCGAGCTGGTGGCTGCCAGAGAGAGCAGAGCCCATCTTAGCTCCCGTTTCCTTTTCTCAACAAAGCATGCAGGTGTAAATAGAGTCGTAGAGTCATAGAGTGACTTTTTTCTGATGTGTTTTGAGCCTCAAAGTAAACGAGGCTGGGATTCTGCCATGAGGGCATGCAGAGAGGTCATATAACCATTGCTGCTGGAGAAGGGCTTTAGGATCACCCAGTCCAACCAGCAGCCTGTGGCCACTGTGTCCCTCCACAGAATCACAGAATGGCCAGGGTTGGAAGGGACCTCAAGGATGATGAATCTCCAACTCCCTGCCACATGCAGGGCCACCAACCTCCACATTTCACACCAGCCCAGGCTGCCCAGGGCCCCATCCAACCTGGCCTTGAACACCTCCAGGGATGGACGGGGCATCCACAGCCTCTCTGGGCAGCTGTTCCAACACCTCACCACTCTCTCTGTAAAGAACTTAGCAGTTTTGCAATGAACTCTACCAACATTTATAAAACAAAACTTCCAGTCTTCACTTTAGCATGGTTGCCTTTAGAGAGTCTTTGGAATATGAAGATGAAAATCTTGTTCTTAGTTAAGTAATAACTAAGGTAACGTATCCCTGGCATAAGTAAAAGGAACCAAAATTTGGGTTGCCCTACTAGAAAGCACCATAAAAAAAGTATTCACTTAAGGTTCTTAAATACTTAAATACCATGAGTCGACACAGCTGGGATGAGGCAAGGCTGATTTCCCATAGCTTGGAATGAAAAAGTGTTTTGGTAATGGTTTCTCGTGCCCTGGTGGTGTTTGCTCTGGGTTGCTCCCTTGTCAACATTCACAAACAACAAAGACAAATGGAGACACTTATGTCTGATATCCCCCAATACAGAACTCACCCAACCTGCACGCACACGGGTTTTGACAGTCAGCATTTCCTCCTGTGTTAAAGACAATTCAATAATGCACTGCATGTCTGGATATCAGGAAAAACTGATCCAAAAGAGCAGTGATCCATTGGAGAAGGGTTGCCCAGGAAGGTGGTGGGGTCGCTGTCCCTGGAGGTGTGGAGATGTGGCACTGAGGGATGTGGTTGGTGGGCATGGTGGGGTTGGGCTGGGGTTGGGTTTGGTGATCTGAAAGGGTTTTTCCAGCCCTCATGATGGTGTGATTTTATGCTGAACTCTGCAATCCTTCAACTCTGTTAGAGCTGCTTAGTTTGGATTTGGTCTCTTCCAACTCAACCATTCTATGGTTCCACTGTGTCCCCTCCCTGTTACGCTCAGGACCACAAGGACATTGGGAGCTCTGGGGAGGCACAGGGATTGCTGTGTGGCAAAAAACCTAAACCTTTGAGAGACCACTAAAAATACACAAGCAAAAGCAAAAAATGTCATCTGAACTAAAGAAGATAACTTCACTGTTCCAAAGTCATTTCCTCACGGGAGAATCTAGTGTTCTGCACAGTGCTGGAGGCATTCAGGGCCAGGCTGGATGTGGCTCTGGGCAGCCTGGGCTGCTGTTGGCAACCCTGCACATAGCAGGGGGTTGGAACCAGATGATCACTGTGGTCCTTTTCAACCCAGGCCATTCTATGACTCCATAATAGGAGTAATTCATTGCTCTCTGCCCATCTCTCACATACGTGCTCACCCATGCATCTTCCTGACAGCCCCATCCAGAACTCCCAGTGACCATGCAGTGGTGCAGTGCTGCAATGCCTGCCCAGCACCCAGCTGCTCTGCACCATGCCCACCTCCTACTGATACATCCATTGCACTGCTGGGACTAAGCACCATTTATATTCCATTCACGACTATTTGCTCACGTACCATGACAAGACTGTTATATCAAATCAAAAAATTAATCATGAGATTTCTTCAAAACCTGCTGGCGAAGCCAACTCCAATTCCTTGCTGTGAAACGAGTAAAGATTTGGGCAGAGCTCTGCTCACACAGCGCTGGGTCCTTCCTCTGGTCCCACAGCATGGGATGCATCAACTTCACAGAGCAGAGAAGTTTGGAATGAAGAGGAGCATTCCTTCCAGCTGACACCTAATGGACGTGCATGGATCTTTCCAAGATCTTGCTGCAGCCAAAAATAAGGTGAGACTGAGAGATTCCCAGGATGATAATTTCCAAGAGAGATGCCCTGCACTCAGCCCCGCTTCGGGCTCAAGCAATTCTCTAGACCATCATCAGGGATAACCAGAGACATTCAACATCCTGGTTGAAACTCCATTTCTTTATCCATGACCATTCAACAGATCAACACTGACAGAAGCTCCTTTTTGCCAATTCATATAACAACTTAAGCCCAACAATCATTTTCCCTACAGTTATCCATTGATATAAAAAAAACAACTTTCATTCCCTTGGAAAATTCCCATTACTCCCTGAGCAGAGCACCAATGTTATAATAAGATTACTATCTTTTTTTTGGGCACACCATGAAAATCCTACTTCTAACCACGCTGCGTGACCAAGAGATGGGGGCTGTGATGTTCACATGGCACACAGCCTCCTGGTGACCATACAGGATGCTGAATGCCCACCTGTTCTTGGCACCAACAGATGCCATGCTCAACGTGGAGCATTCAAACCACACTGGACTCACAGGACTGTCAGTCTCACCTTTGTGCTGGGGAAGCTCATGGAGCAGATCCTCCTGGGAGTGATGCTAAGGCACGTGGAAGGCAAAGAGCTGATATGAGGGAACCAGCATGGCTTCACCAAGGGCAAATCCTGCTTAACCAACCTCGTGGCTTTCTCTGATGGTGTCACTGCATTGGGAAGAGCCACTGATGTCAACTATCTGGATTTCAGTAAGACTTTTGACATGGTATGCCACAACATCCTTCTCTCCCAATTGGAAGGATATGGATTTGATGGGTGGGCTGTTCAATGGATGAAGAACTGGCAGCAGGATCAAGTCAGAGAGTGGTGCTCAATGGCTCCATGTCTGGATGGAGATCTGTGATGATGAGTGGTGTCTCCCAGGGGCCACAGTGCTGGGCCCAATACTTTTTCATATCTTCATCAATGACTCTGACAGTGGGGTTGAGTGCACCCTCAGCAGTTTGCTGATGATCCCAAGCTGTGGGGTGAGGTGACACATGAGAGGGACAGGATGCCACCCAGAGGGACCTAGACAGGCTGAGCAGTGGGCCCAGGTAAACCTCATGAGGTTCAACAAATCCAAGTGCAAGGTCTTGCACCTGTGTTGAGGCAACCCCCATTACCAGTACAAGCTGGGGGAGAGAAGAATTGAGTGCAGCCCTGACCTTTTTTCAGGGTCTGGACCACGCTCTGGGCAACCTGATTGAGTTGTGGGGAGCTGGGAGAGATGGCCTTCAGAGGTCCCTTCCAACTCTAAGGATTCTATGGTTCCAACATTCCAACTTCTGTGATGGGGAGATGCTCCCAGCAGCACAGAGCTGCCCTTCTGCTCCCTCCACCAGCACTGCTGCGTCCAGTGCTCTGTCACAGAGCATCCCTGCAGTGTCCCCACTGATCAGCTGAGATTTATCTTTCCCATTTAGAACAGAGGAATAATTAAAGAGGCCTCCAGCCAGAGAAATAGAAGTCATTTTTTCCTGATAATACGCTGCGGTACTTCAAACATTATGCAAGATGAATTGATCTTATAAAATATACTATTAAACTCACAAAAGCTTCCCCTCAATGGTGAGGTTTATTCTGTGCAGCAAGACACTGCGACTGCAGATAAAACACACAGGAGGAACAAATGCCTCCTCAAAAATGTTATCTGTGTGCTGCTGCTGCAAATCCTTCCAAGGTCCCAATGAACTCTGAATATGGAAAAGGAGGCCCTGGCATGGAGCTGTGATGCAGCAGCCAAACACATGGGCTCAGTTTGCTCAGGGCAGAATGCACCGCTGCAAGGTGAGATCCTCCCCATGCATCCCAGTTCAGCATATTAATAAATACAATTTAGATTTAATGACATCACGCTGGGATGGATGTGTGCTCTGAGTGAGCAAGGAGGAGTCGAGCACAATTAGGGTCATGTTACGTTTTGGGTCTTATCTGAATTCCTTCTGTGTTTGGTTGGCATCCGTTCTCTTTCCTCTGGGCAAAGCAGAAGGTGTTCACACACAGCTCCTGTGCTGCTCCTTCCTGGGGCCATTGCTGGGTCCATCCCTGCATTTGTGTTCATCCGAAGGCCTGAATGCACAGCCTCAGTGCCAAGTGCCTCCTGCTGATTGCTGTGAGACACGCTGGAAGAATGCAAGATGAATTACTGCGTGCGTCTGCCTGGGATGAAAGTAGGAAGAAAGCAAACACTGCTGCAGCTTTCAGTTTCCGTGAACAATAAAAGAGTAAAACAGCAAAGCCAACGCATCCACATGGCTCTCAGCCGTACAACTGAGCTTTAAAGAACTGCTGGATGACCTGGGATTACTTTTATAGGTGTTTTTCTTGGATCCAACCTCTGGCTGCTCTACTGTTTCCCACAGTAGAACAGAGCACGCTCCATCTCTGCACAGAGGTACAGCACAAAAGCAAAGAGCACTTTGTAGAACAGGTAATGTGATGACACAGGGAATTACAACCACCTCCGCTGTGATTTGCTGTGATCACAAGGAACTGCCCGACCAGCTCTGTATCCACTTCTTTGCTCCTTTCCATTCCCTTCTTTTATTTTCTCTCTTTGCCTTTGAGGTTTGGGTTTCAATTAGAGCTGCTGATGACTCAATTATGCTCTGTGAATGCCACACAGCTCGAAAAACTGGTGTTAGTAGCATCAGAGTGAAGGAAGCTCTTTGTACCATGATGCCCACACTTCAGAGAGGTGATGCTATCACCCAGAAAGTGCTCTCTGTGTCACCAATGTGGGGAGGGAATTCCCTTATCCTCCTGGTTTCCAATGGCAGCACGCAGCCAGTGCCCTGCAGCTGTTTCTGTGCAGCTTAGAGGATGGAATTTGGAATTTCCTGGGCTGTGCTGTGGTAATATCCAAAGGTACGTAGAATGCATCCTGGGAAGGATTTCCTTTATAAAAGTGATGGTGAAGAAAATGGCAGAAATAGCATAAACCAGAAATAGCAGAGGGAACAAAACCAGCCTTGGGATTTTGGAGAGATGAGCAAAAAGAGGCTGGGGGAATTTCAGCTCCAGCAACCCATGGGAGAAGAGTGCAGGAGACAAATGCTAACTCAGTGAGGAGCTCTTCCCTAAGGAAATCAAAAATACCTTCCTATACCAAACAAAGACAGCCAGCACTGAGCCCTCTCAGCTGCAGAGCTGCCCTGGGCTTCTCCCACCCCCAGACCCATAAGAGAGAAGTGCTGCACTGTTCCCACATCTTCACAAAATCACCCTGCAGGTACACTAAGCCACGAACCCAAGTCATTTCCCAAGTGCTCCACCACAGTGCAAGGCCCACGTTGGCATTCCAAGGTGCTCCAGTGGTCTTTCAAGAGAAACGTTCCCAACAAATTGCTTTTAATTGCTTCAGAAGATGTTTTATGCAAGGCTGGATCGATACGTGTTGGGAGAATGGCTGCAGTCTGTGGGCTGGAGGTGACCAAAGGGATGCAATGCATGGCATGGATTGTGAGTCTGGTGTGAAAACAGCCTGGTGCCATTCTGGAGGCTATGCAAGGACAACTTCTGAAGAAAATTGAAAAAACATAAGACATTACAGAGCCACGAGGTGTAAGTGCTGCCATGCACTGCATCCCTAGAACAGATTGTGTGTAAACACTGCCTGTGCACACATTCAGCAGCATCACAAAACAGAACCAAAAAAGAGCCAAGAACGGTGTGTGTGTCAGCAAAGGTGTGGTTGGCTTCACACATGGAATGCTGCTAAATGACAGCATGGCCACGTGCCCTGCTCCATGCTCACCAACCTGTGCCCCGAGATGAACATCTGCAGGGTTAATTTCCAGCCCAATTAGCACACTGATCTGGTTTACCAGCTGGCTGCAAAGTGTGCAATGCTGGTGCAAGGAGGTGGCTTGCAGGCAGCACTGCCTTTGGGCAACAGCAAGGTTTGCAGATAGGCTGCAGCCAACCGTGCAGTTCTGAGCTGGGTTCTCTCTCCCATCACTCATTTAACAGCTAGAAAATGTAACAGTGCAGTGCATGAACTTGTAGGAAAAAACATCTGACCATTAAATGACCGGAAGATTAATCTGAACCTTCTTTTCCATCGTTATTCCCACCCCACTTTCTCCTGGAATATGTGTGTTAGTTGAACATCACACAGCACAAGAACACAGAAGGAAGAGATGCTCCCCAGCTCTGCTGGGTGGGTTTCACCTCCACCTCCAACACCTCCCAAAAGCAACCCAACCAATCCGATGTGTTAATGTGTGCAGTGAGCAGCCCAGCACTCCTCTGATGGTGTTGGTGAGGGCTCACCCACAAGAAATGAACCCCAATCCAATGTGATGAGGCTTTGCAGCCTGAGTTCCAATTCTTTTTGTTCCCATCACTTGTTTCCATGCTGAAATCCCATGCTTTTAGTCTCTCAGATGTGAGTGTGTGACAGATGCTGTACCATCACACTCCGTATTTTCGTATTGATGACAAACTCATTCCTATATTGCTTTTGAATCTCTGACTGTCCAGAGTGGGATTAAAGAGGCAATGTAATCCAGTTATGCAATGCAGCCTGGGTGGAGAAGCACTTCTGCTTTAACAGACATTATCCCAGAACAGATTCTGGTCTGCACACAGACAAAGGCAAACCTTCCCACATGTCTACAGAGACAGACATCTCAACATCATCACAGGATCCCACAAAGTCAGAAGGGACCCAGAAGGATCACCCACGTGCAATCCCAGAGAAGTCACCCAGCAAGCAAAAAACATACAGCAGCAATGCAAGAAAGAATAATTCCAAACAAGAAGCTTTTCAGTCCAGCTTTAGCATTTCTAATCCTCCCTCTTGCTGCTGCCCTGGTACCAACTTGAGAACTGACCTCAGCAGTGTTCAGACACCACTAAGCTATTGCTACATCATTTAAGAACCTTTCCAACAGTGCATCGTGCATCTGAAATTAAATGAACAGAGTTCTGATGCTATGCCAGAACAAAAGAAGTCTGGCTGTTGGCCGAGCTCAGGTGGGAAGCAATGCATGCACATGTGTGTGCTAATGCAGCCAGGGTGAAGTTTCACTGAGAGAGGTGGGATCCACAGCAATTATTTTGTAGATAGCTTATCCTAATTGGCTTCACTGCGAGGCTCTGAGGATCAGCAGGGAAGTCTGGGCACTTGGCTTTTCCCTTTGGGAGACAAGAAGTGGCAGATGTGGAATCGATCTCACGTTTGAAATACTGCATATTTGTATTGCAAGGCAGGAAGGAAATACATTTTGCTTTTTTACATCTCCTTGCCAATAATCTTACAGCTGTACAGCTTTGTAAAAACAGCATCACAGATGGCCCAAATAGCCATTAAACAACAACAGAAACAGTTCTCCCCACCAGAGTTTTCCATTTAGAAATACTATGGAATTCCTAATGGAGTGAAGATAGTGAAGATAGTGGTCCAAAGTCCTTGTTCCTACTTATCAATCTAAAACAAACAATGCAACAATCATTAAATATTCAGCAAATCTTGCAGGGTACTTACAGAGTACTTTGTTTTGGATAACTAACAGATTAGTTGATAATATTTTTTTTCATAATTTTGGAAACTACGTTCTTGATGTAATATTCATAGATATGGATATTCTGCCCAATTAGCTGTAGTCATTTTCAGGAGACATCTAAATTAGATATCAACAAAAATAAACAAGGACCTGTGAAGGCTGAATCAGGACAACTAAAGCTGGAAAATCTTTTGGATACGTCCATCCTTTGCCATTTGAGAAAAAACAAGCCTTGCTTCTCATTTAAGCCACAACTGAAATGGAATGAATCCATTCACTTAAGACTGAAAAAATGGTCTGGTTTCTACAAGCTAGTAATATTTAGGAGCAAGTGAAGAGTTGCACGTGAGAAGACAGTTTTTGTCCCACATGACGACTACAGAAAGGAGATGAGGAGCACACGACAAGTGACAACATGAAAGGGCTGCACCATGAACTACGAGCCAAGCTGAAGGCAAAACCATCATTGCTCTTACCTGCAACCGAGTTGGGCCGTGGCATGAGGTACAGTGGGATGGACTGCACTGACTGGGACAGGACGGTCTCCAGGTTCCTCTCCGGGATCTTGTTCAGGCTGTAGGTCGAGGCTGTCATGTTCTCATCCACACGGTACAGGCACGAGTCCATGCTGGACTTCTGGGACTGCCAGGGCTTCAGGTTGCCACCCGAGCCCATCTCCTTGCTGCTTTCCCCTCCATACTTGGTGCGCTCCACGTTCTCCGAGTAGCTCGTCAAAGTGGCTTGAAGGAAGGAATCACAAAGAAAATGAGCACGGGAGGAAGAAGTGCTTGCACACACACACACACACACACACACACACACTGCTGTGCACGGCACCGTGCAACAGCCCAAAAACCACGCTCGTCGTGTATCCCACAGCCACATAAATCAGGGGTGAAACTGCATTTAATGATACTGCTTCTGCGAGAACGTTCGGGCTCACACTGATAGAAGCCATTTGTAATTACAGAGAGTATTAAAAATGATGTGCAACGCTGCGTTAAGAGCACACAACCCCAGAAACAATTAAGGACGATCCATTAGCAGTGCTGCTCCTACCTCTGCATTTGCATCACAGCCACAGCCTTTCCAGACGCTGCTCTCAGAAAGTTATCACCTTATAAAATATGACTTATAAAGACTGTCTGACAGTGAGATGCCACACAGATGAACCCCCACCTGCCTCACACCAACAACTGCTCCTCTGGGTGAGTTCAGCTCAGAACCTGACCCCAGTGCTTTGATTTGTGCTGGTTTTGGGATGCTTTCTGTGCAATCCATCCATTTCCCCTTGCACTGCCCGGTTCCCAAGAGCAGGGCTGCTGATATATTAACACATAACTCACCATTCAACCCAACAATCAACTTTATTCCAACTCTTCCTAAGCCCTGGGTGTGCGCATAGATGGACTTGGAGATATTTATCTCCTAAATCCCCTGAAATGCATCACTTTCACTTAGTAAATACCAAGCCAAGGCCAAACTCTCTGCTGATTTCTGTCTCTGGACACAATGGTGTGGCTCTGTGGCCTCGTGCTGGTGGTGCACATCCCACCACCGTCCCTCTTGGAGCACAGGATGCACTCCCTCATTACCACCCATCCCCATGCTGAGCTTTACACTGAGACATCAACCACTTCCATGTAAAGCCACCAACTCATCATCCAAAAATACAAAAGAAATGTCCACTCCACATCCATCCCAGTGGAGTTGGTGTAGCCTTCAACCTTCACCTTTCCTATTTTTCTCTCTGGGCGCTGTGCTTGCCATCCATGCTGTCAGCTCAATGACTGTGTACCCCATGGGTGCCCCAAAACTCAGCTCTTTGTAACATATTCTGAGACCTGAAACCAAGGCATGCAGCTGATGAGAACCACATCTGCTTGTTGGCATTGAGACACCCCCTTCTGCCAGGTAAACACGCTGACACTTCAATGGAAGAAGCTAAGATAAAACCAAGAGAGGTGCTGATAGGTTTCTTTGGCTGCCAGCACTGATAAATACATTTTTAACTATAAAACTTCCATTGGAACAGCCAGGGCTGCAGCGCTGAGCACAACCCATCCCACTGACAGAAACCTCAGCCTATTTCTCGTTAATCACTTCTCATTAACCTTAGCAGAGAAACGCCAGCAGCTAAGATCTTCAACACACCAAACTGAGGGTAAAAGCCAAAATAACTATGGGTCAAAGTAAGCTTTTTCAAGCACAGATGGCAGGCTCTATGCCCAACCAACCATCACCTTTCTTACCTCTTGAGCAAAATATGACTTCTAAGGGTTATAACTTAAGAGTTTTGCTTCCTTATCACTGCACTGTGCTGCGTTCCACCATAACCTTGAGAAATGGTTCCAAACTTCTGCTGATGCTCACACAGCTCTGCTGCAGTGTGGATCATTACAGCACGCATTTGGGGCCAATCCTCTGAGATTTCACGGCTCTGTGATTCATGACTGTGACACCAGCAGTGATGGGCTGTGAAAACGAGCCCTAATGACAAAGAATCCCAACAGCCCACAATTCTGAGCTGTGCTGAATTGTGCCAGTGCCAAAGGGGCTGAAGCAGCACCCATGAGAACCCCATACTTGAAGTCCTCGCACCCTTAAGGTGCAAATCAAAGCACACAGTGGCTGTCACACTGATGGGGATAAAAGAGGGAACCTTTCCTCAATGCAAAGGTTATAAAGGAAACCAACAGTTCTCGGTTGTTGCAAAATCTCTTATGGGTCCCATCTTAAAAGAGAAGGATGCAAAACCAGATGGCACGCTCTAGATTTGGGAAAGATAAACTGATGACCTCAGACACATCAGGAATGTTCACCAGGGGCAATCTGCTGAGAAGAGATCTCTGTGGGCTGAGCCCTTCCCAACCTATAGCCCTGCACCGGGTTATGGGACGTGCTGGGGCATGGCTGGAAGGGCTGCAGGGCTGTGCACACAGAACAGCACTTTGTGCTCTTCCCATTGCTGAATCCATCTGGAAAGCACAACCTGGGTACCAAAAAAGGCAGAATACTGCAGTTCTGGGCTGTTCCAGTGAAGCAAGTGGGCTGCAGCCACATGTAGGCTGTGGCTGGGGAGCACAGGAGGGATGGAGGCAGGGGGAACAGCAATGGGGCAGCTCTGGAGGCATGTGCTGAAGGCATGGGACCTGGCAGGCTGTGCTTCCCAAGAGCACTGCACCAATGCCATGTGCAGATAAACACAGATGCACATATATAGAGATCTTCAGCGTGTCAGCTGCTGGCCAATGTACACCGTATTTAATAAGAGCACAGACAGAATTTGAGGCATCTAAGGCATCTGATAGCTTTGCAGCCCTTTAAGGAGCACAAAGGCCCTGTGATGGCAGGACTGAGGAATTCACCTCTGTGCAGACCCTGCCACAAGGCTCCAGCTCCACTGGCAGCAGCTGGGCGCTGTGAAGCCCAGTGTGGGGATGCCAGGAGGGGAGGCATCCCTACAGGGCTCTTCTCTTTGGGGTTGGCTTCTTCTCCCAAGTAGCTAACGATACAATGAGGTAATGGCCCCATGTTTCACCAGGGCAGAGTCAGGTTGGATGTTAGCAACCATTTTTTTGGCCCTGCATGTGGCAGGGGGGTTGGAGTTTCATGATCCTTGACGTCCCTTCCAACCCTGGCCATTCTGTGATTCTGTGATTTCTCCATCTCCAAAAGAGTGGTGATGCATCAGCATGGGCTGCCCAGGGAGGTGTGGGAGCCCCCATCCCTGCAGGTATTCCAGAATGTGGGGATGTGGCACTTGGGGACGTGGTGATGGGCATGGTGGAATGGGGTGAAGTTGGACTTGGAGATCTGAGAGGTCTTTTTCAAGACTGCTTATCCAAGCAGGACCTCATCCATGACAGCATCCTCGATGCCACTGCAGTCAGTGCTGCACTTTGCTAAGAAATATCATGTATTTACAGGAAATAAGCATTACTTCTCCTGTAGCTGCAAGCCAGTCTGCACTCTGGAGCATGAGAGCTGCATTTGTCTCCAGTCACACACACAAAGGGATTTTTGCCATCCCATACAATTCTCCTGGAGGCAAAAATCACACCTGGAAAACAACACCTTTCTGCTCACAGTGCAGATGGAACAGCAGGAAAAAGCAGTTTCCTATGGTTACTATTTAATGACAAGCAGCAGCTACAATATTAATTATAGACAGAAATTAAGGATAAACCTCAAGAAGGAAACAGAGATTTTGTTGCATTAAAAACTTAACTGCAGCAGAGCAGCGAGCATCAAACATTGCATAGGAGAAACTCTTGTGCAAACACTGCAGGTTCACCTTGTTTCACAACCATCCCCATGCATGCCTTGCACAGAGAGCTGCACAACCACTTCCAGCCCTTGGATCCTGCACCAGATTTATTTCAGCCAGCAGGAATCTGCAGCTGAAGACCCAAACTGAAATCTATGGATGAAGAACTTTATGTCCCAGAATCACAGAACTGCAAGGGTTGGAAGGGACCTCCAGAGACCATTGTGCCCAATCCCCATAAAGCAGTTCTGTACAACAGATCATGCAGGTCAATGTCAGATGGGTCTGGAGTATTCACAGAAGGAGATTCCACCACCTCCCTGGCCATTATACTGTAAGTACAGATACAACTTGCCATGTCACGTTGGAGATGTCCAAGCTAAAGGGAAGGAGTGGACACAAACTGAACCCTGCTTGAAGCTGGAGGTCAAACCCCAGCCTGCTCCTCGTCTGCTTCACTTCTCTTACAACAGTGGTCTCACACAGAAGGGAAAAACAAGCACTGCTTTAAATCACATCACCAATCCTATTAAAAACAACAGAGATTAAGCAGGTAAACTCATTTCTGTTTCAAGCCTGAAGCTACCATCAATCACAGGGAGCACACAAAGCTCTTGGAATGTAATGAAAAATACCTTGGCCATAGCATCATGCTGACCCTGTATTCTTTTGGTTCTAAACCTGAATTCCCTGGCAAGCAGGATGAGGAACAGCAGGAATGCCTGCAAGGCAGACGGGGCTCACAGCTGTGTGCTGTGCAGAGCAGAAATGCAGCAGAGCAGCAGCACTGCAAACAGCACAGAGCAGCACAGCTCCAGCTCCTCTACTGCAGGTTCTTGTTTGGGGAAACACGGTGATAAGTGTTTTTAAGCACAGCAAACATCAAAGAGATCTGTTAGAAAGGTTCCGAATCCAATCTACAGGCAACAGTTCTCATCTTCCAAAGCACAATACATGTTAAACAAGGAAACATGTCCCAAAATACAATTATTTGAACACATCCCTGTAATAAAACCACACAAGTAGGACGGTTGGACTGGGTGATCTTAGAGCTCTATTCCAACCTTGTGATGGTTCTGTGATTCTAAGGACAGCTGGAGGAGAACCTCTGATAGGAATGCACAATGACAGATGAGGGGCTCTTTCAGGATCCTAATGGCCTTGAAACTGGCTTTAGAATTATAAGATTTAAACAAGAGAGCAAAAAGGAGGCATGTGGAGGGGAGTTATTACACACCAAGCTTGTTGGCTGAGGCGAGGAGGTTGGAGTGTGATGATCCTTGAGGTCCCTCCCAGCCCAACCCATTCCATGATTCTGCCACTCTATGATTCTATACTTGGTTTTCACTCACTGGGCACGTTCAGGCTGTTGTTGAGCTTTTCTTCATAATCACAAAGGTTAAACTCCTGCTGCTCTTATAAAAGAATGGAGAGCCCCACCAGATCTCAAGCCATCAGCAGCCAATGCTTCCAAGCCCTCTGTCCCAAATCCAAATCCAAAGTAACACCGTGGGAGCTGGCAGCACTGAACTTCCCTCTAGCTGTCTTCTGATCAGTGCTTTCAGTTTCTTTCTTCCAGTAATTCCACAAATCCTTTCAACACTTCACTCCGCGTTCCCCCTCTACCAGCCTGGACTGTAAACCAAACAGATTTCAGTTTCAACACAACACATCTTTTGTGCCACTTACTTTTGCTTTATTCACTCCAGCACTCCCTTTCTCCCATTTTTCCCCAAAATCATAGCACACACCTCTGCCAGCCCATCACCTACCCAGTATCTAAGCAGGGTCCATTTCAGCAGCCAACCCAGCCCTCGGTGCCCCACAGACGTAACCAAGGAAGGCAGCAATGCCATTCCACAACATGGTTGCTGTTTGGGTTTCTCACCCCTCACACTGAGCATGCCAACACGGCCTTCCTTTTACTCAGTTTGTCCAATTTAAGGAAACAGAGCCACAATGGGATCAGGATCCAGGAATGGTTCCTACAGCACTCGATGCCATTGAGATGCAGCGCTCCCACCGATGATGCCCAACCATGAGATGTCTGATAAATCACCTCTCCTTCCTCCTCCTGCCCTGTTATCCCACTGCTGTAAGATGCAGGTGCATTACTGAGCAGAGCTCATCAATATCCAACGTTTTTCAGGGAGCTCCTCCTCTGGGGAATGAGCACGGATGGGCAGCCTGAAAAATCTGTAGTTCTTAGAAACCTTATTCATTATTAACCAACCGCTTCGTGATACTGATGAGAATGTCAGAACTCAAACTCAACAGCTGTAGGGTCACAACAATATCTAATCAGAGTAAAATCCATCTTGGAGGGACCTCTGAGCTGCTCTTTGCTCCCTCCTCCAAACACAAATCTGTAAAGAAATCCATCGTGGTTTCCTGCCAGCAGCATCTCTTCTACTTAGCATGCAGCCTGGACCAATTTATTCACAAACCCATTTTTCACCCACAGACATGTATGTAGGAAGCAGCGACCTGGTGACAGCTCAGAAGTCAGCCTTCACTGTAAAGCACACAAAACCTAAGAGAAGCCATTTAGTGTGCATGGGCTGAGACCCATCTACACCACAGCAGCACCTACCCAGCTCACTGCCTTTGCTTTCAGCTGCTTCAACATCATAAACATCTCCTTGCTCCAAATGGCCTCCTCAGTAAACACTGAGCAGAGCAGCACAGGACTTCATATTTCAGCCAGAGGGTGGTGAGGCACTGGAACAGGTTGCCCAAGGAGGCTGTGGATGCCCCATCCCTGCAGGCATCCAAGGCCAGGCTGGATGTGGCTCTGGGCAGCCTGGGCTGCTGGTTGGTGACCTGCACACAGCAGGGGGTTGGAACCAGATGATCATTGTGGTCCTTTTCAAGCCAGGCCATTCTATGACTCTATGATTCTTTATGTGCATGGCAGTGTTGGAGATGCTCAGCATTCAGCCATGCATCAGAAGTGCATTTCTGCTGGGATGCACAGCACCCAACAGCACTGAGGTCCAGTGGAGGAGCACGGGGTTCTGTGAACACTTTTCTTTCCAGTAGCAGATTCTGAACATCAGCAGTTGGCTGCCTCTGTGCTGTGAGAGCCAACAACTCTGGGAAGCTCTTCAGAGGTTAAAGCCAGGTCAGCACTCCCAGCAGCCGCTCTGCTGCACTGAAAGGATTTAGCAGCTTCCAGGAGAAGGCTGACTGGCTCCGGGCTCCCGTCAGCTCCCTCCTCCTCCCTCCTCCCCCCTTTCCTTGTTCTGCAAGCAAACACATACATTTATGATAGCTTTCAGTGGCAGCTCTAAAAGATGCAGCAGATAACCCCCCAAATATCAGCCCTTCCTTCAGCTGCAGTGCCACCATTGCACTGCTCCTGCCCTGCATTCCTAACCCAAGGCTGAGCTTCCAAGAGGAAGAAAATCCAACAGTTCTGCAACAGCTTTCTCCCATCACGTCATTTGGGGAGGTTCTATGGAGCCTCTGTGGAGGTGCAGGGGGCAGCAGTGACATCAGCTGCCTGGGAGGAGCAGGAGGGTGACCACGACTCAGGAATCACACAACACCTCCAGAAATGTTCACTCTTTTCCTACACCAACACCACAGGCAGCACTTTGAGATGGAAATCTCCAATGGTTTTACACTTCCAAGTGCCATTATGGCCACTCAGAGCAAAGGCCATCAGCGTGGTTCCCTTCACACAGAGCAAACACAAGCAAGGGAAATGCACCAAGGGGCTCTGCATCCAATAAAGGAGGAATGCAGCAGAGGGAAACCTGATCTCCAACCCTCCAGAAACAAAAGAGCTGGTGCTGCTCTAAACAGGAGAGCACAGCTGTCTGTGTGCTGCACATATGGACCATTCCCCTGGAAATAATTCTGGAGAACCACTGCCATCCAGAGAGCACCTTACAGAACCAGAGCACCTTACAGAACCAGAGCACAGCAGCTCACATCCAACCGGTGCGACGATGGCACAAATGCACAACCATCCCCTGCTTGTGCTGCACCGTGCCTTGCAGAGGACAGCAGAAAGATCTGGCTGCAAAAATTCCCACTTCTTTTGCTGCTGGAGAAGACTGTACTCCTGCTGTGTGTTGTGGCTGCACAGCTTCTATTGAAGGGCAGAGTGAGACGGTGATGAAAATGTTACTGTCAAAGGGAAGAGGGGAAAGGGAGGGAGGCAGAGGCTGTTGTGTGCCTCTGAGTGCTAACAGAAGAAGTGGGAAGCACTGCTTTCTGAAAGCCTTCCCCTGCACCACATGAATGTGCTTTTACGTGACTTTTCCATCTGGGATACATTACCATAACCTTGGGATAAGCCACTTTCTTTCACTTTCCACTTTTTCTACGGGGAAAAAAAGTCTAAGCTCCTGAGAGAAATATTTCCAACAGAACCTTGCATGTGAGGGGTGAACAACATTGTGTTCTGACTTTAAGAAATGACTACAGAATGGGATGGGGGGCACGACAGAACCAGCAGCTCCAGCATCCCATCCCACCAGCGGTGTGCTGACACTCCCAGCCTCCCAGATGTGCTGCTGGGACCACCTGCACCTCCCATGCCCTCACCTGGGCAGATGGCAAAGCCATCCCCTACTGCAGCCACCCCCCATGACACTTTGGAGCACCAGGAGCCACCAGCCTGTTTTGCTATGCAGCTCCTTATGGCTCTTGGTTTTAACATCACACAGACAGAAGTGCTGTTCTATGGCACAGAGCACATGAACTGAGCCCAGGTTTCCCCATCAGCCGAGCAAACTATTAATCACCAGCACAACCAATCTCTCCAAATAAACCACCTTCCTTCTCTGTTTTTTCTCCCATCAGCACTATGTGACCTGCTGGCAAAGTGAAGTCATCTTAGCTGGACAAATACCCAACACAAACAGAGGGAAGGACAACCATGCCTGGACCATCTTGCCCAACACTTCTCTCCCGCTGCACCTTCACATCTGCTGGGCACACATTATCTGTGTGGGTTGTGTTCTTAAGATTCTCCACACCAGCAATGGGAAAGAAATGGAGATCAGGAAGAATTCAAAGGCATTACCATTTGTCCTCTACAAACAGAAGTTCAACAGTGCTACGTTAGAAGCTGCAAATGGGAACACTTTTCCCTGTCTCCTTCTTCTCGCTGAATATTTCTACAGAAAATCTGACAGTATTTGAGCTACAAAGATGGGATCTCCATCCATTCTCTTTAACGCTGGAAAAGAGTGGGTAGGGACTGAATAGCAGAGAGGAAGGAAAATGCTGAAGAAAGCAGAAGGTTCTTATATCACCTGGGGGTGTAGGGGAGGATGGCAGCCCCCACCTGGCACTGCCCACCCCAGCTGACTTATGGGACCTGGAAGTTCACCCCTCTACAAATGAGGGTTCAGGTGAGGGGCTCCCAATACAAGAAAGACAAAGAGCTGTTGGAGAGGGTGCAGAGGAGCCACAAAGATGAGCAGGGGGCTGCAGCACCTCCCTACAAAGACAGGCTGAGGGAGCTGGGCTGGTTCAGCTTGGAGAAAAGAAGGCTGTGGGGTGAATCATTGCAGCCTTCAGTACCTAAAGGGAGCCTACAAACAGGAGGGGAATCAACTCTTGGAAAGGGGAGATAACTGCAGGACAAGGGGAAATGGTTGGAAGTTGACGAAGGGAAGGTTTAGGTTGGATGTCAGGGGGAAGTTCTTTGCTATGAGAGTGGTGAGGTGCTGGAACAGCTGCCCAGAGAGGCTGTGGATCCCTGTCCATCCCTGGAGGTGTTCAAGGCCAGGTTGGATGGGGCCCTGGGCTGCCTGGTCTGATATTAAATGAGGAGGTTGGTGGCCCTGCATGTGGCAGGGGGTTGGAGATTCATCATCCTTGAGGTCCCTTCCAACCCTGGCCATTCTATGACTCTATGAGCACCTGCACAGACAGCAGGAGGGAGATGAGGGCAAACCTCTTGGTATGATAAATAGCCTCGTAACACTGGGAAGAAAGATGGCAGGAAACAAGTATGTGAAGTACAGAACGAGGGAGGAAGACAGGAGAAAAGACAGAGAACAAACAGCCGCACTCTTTGTCTTCTACCACTTAAACACCTCCAAAGCTTTGCACCCAATGATTTCCACTTCACCAACCTCAACCATCGCGACTCCCACCATCCCCACATCAGTTTCCCAGTGACAGAGGGTGACCACGACGAACACCTCCCACTCATTACCAAAGGTGTGCACACGCTGCTCAAAACAAAGCTTGGAGGAGGAGAGCAGGAGGGCACGCAGCCCTGCTCACCTATGATGCCGCTGTCCCTGCTCTCCAGCGTGGACGTGGGGCTGGTGACGGCCCCGTAGCTGCAGTCCTTGGCAGGGACGTTGGTGCTGACGGGTGGCAGGGTGGAGCAGGGGCTGCTGGCGGGCGGTGAGGCCGTGCTGCTGGTCAGTGTGGAGCAGGGGCTGATGCGCTGCGTCACCGCCGAGCTCTGCAAACAGGGAAGGTGCAGTCAGTTCTGTGCGCCGCTACGGAAGGGTGCGAGCACTCTGCTAAGTGGTGATGAGCTCACCTTGACTAACAGCGAGGCAAAGCAAACTCAGGAAATCCTGCCAAGACCTCTGTGCCGTTTACATCTGCTCAGAAATCCCAGCGGGACAGCAATTTTGCCTTGTAATTGTTTCTTATGTTCAGGAAAACCAACAGCGGTCTCACAGCTCTGCTCAGAGGGACTCCAAAATCCCAACATGGGTAGAGTCGGCCCCAGATATGCTGCCTTCCCCATTATAGAGGGTTCCTAAAATACCCCAACACTGGGAGGGTGACTCTCCATGGACAGAACACAAGGAGAAATGCAGCAGCACAAAAAAGCCCGCCGTTCTAAAAGTTATCTGCAAAAAACTGCATGCAAAAAAATCCTGAGAGTTTTTAGATCTGATGCTGTGCACTGAGATGAGTTTATTAAGAAAACAGAATTGCTGCTGGGTGCCACTGGTGACAAGATGTGCTGTAAGTGTGGCTGTAAGGCATACTGACACTGGGTGAGCCCACCCTGCCTGCCTGTCTTTGCTGCTGCAGAGTGGTCCTGCCCCCAAGGAAGGAGCAGCTGAAGTTAACTGCTAATTTGGAATTTCCTTAATTTCGATTTCTTGTATTCTAGGTGAATGCTTTCCTAATAATCCCAGAGATTCCCACATTCATGCCATTGGAACCCAGACTGCCCACAGACAGCACCGTGCTCACGAGTCACAAAACACATTTGAAGTCAGATTGGTTTCTTCCTCCTCGCTGTCCTACTTTAAGCTCAAAAATTACCCAGGAAGGACTTCAGTAAGCAGAACAGGGATTCCAAGGCAGGCTGCCAAGCTCTGTGCTCCCCTGACCAAAGGGGTCCCTATGGGGTGGGAGTGGGCATGCTGTGGGGCAGCCCCCCGAGCAGCCCAGCCCCAGTCAGAGCACTCAGAACTGCTCAGAACTGCTGCAGCTCCGAGCTGTGCATTGCAAGGCTGTGCTGAGCCTTCATCTCAACTGCTGTACCGAAATCTTAGCTTATCTCGGGGTCAGCAAAACAATCTGCCAACCTTAAAACGCTGAAATTAAAGCTCAGTCCTCCGCCGGCCGATAGCATCGCTGTCTGATGGAATGCCAGAAGTGATGTCCTTACCAATTCTTTTATTTGTGGCCCCACTGATGCAGCTCTGCAGACTGAGCTCCGTGCAGAAGGAAGCAGCTCCGTAACGCAGCCACGGCTCGGCAGTGACTGATGTTTTATTTCTGTATCTGTATAAAAGAACCTTCCTCTGCGCTCGCTTTAAGCATCCATTCCCACTGACAGAACGTTCTGTATTAATACGATTGCTGCTGTTTCATCTGTCACATCCTCACTAAGCTTCACAGAATTAAACTCCTCTGTCACAGTCCCACATCCCCTTTGTGCCGCTCCGGTTCAAAACCAGCTCCCCAAAAAAGTCAGAGAGAAAGGATTAATTCTTTGACGTTCATGATCTCTCATTAAGGAAAGAGTGATTAAGGAAGAGACCTTCCATCAAGCACGCCATTCCACAGCAATCTGCATTAGGGACTGCATCCTTCAGTGTGCTCAGAACCAGGCAGCTGGGTGGGAATGGGATGTGCTGATGGGGAAGCAACAGTAAGAGCACCTCTGCCCCTCATCTGCTCAGTGCTGGAAGCATCAATCTTTGCATATCCCATGAATTTCTTACCACACCATTTTCAGCACTGCTTTCAGCAGCAGAGCTGAGGGAAGAATCACTTTGGGAAGGAGAGCCCAAGAGGTTCTCAACCCACGGGGCCCCAGACCCCAAAAAGCAAAGCCCTGAGCTCCACACCCAGCAGGAAAAAAAGGAATGAATGTGCTCATGGAGGAACCATTCTCTCTCTTCTCCAGCTATGAATGGCACTCAAGAGCCTTGTGGAACATTTTTTAATGCAAAAATCAGCACGCAGACTGAGATACACATCTATTTACAGGACAACCCTCTGCTGCTCTTCAGATATTTCTACTTGAGACAGAGGATGGGATTTTAATTTTTGTCCAAAGGCAGCAACAAAAGAAAGCATTTGGAGCACAGTGCTTGGCTCTGGAGCACCCTGCTCCACCAGGTGCCTCTAAAGCCCATTCTCTGGCACAATGGTAGAGCACCTTCCAAATCCACCGCATCTCACAACAAAAAGCTGAATGAAACCATTAAAAACCTGGTTTTTAATGTGTTAAAGGCCAAGCTTTTACAAAAACGCATCTCTTGGCATCCATCTATCAGCCCTTCAGGTTGAGGAGGAGATGGAAGACCCAAACACATTGGTTGTGCCTATGGAGTGGGGCTGAGGGAGCCCAGCTGCCCAGCACAGCACTTGGAGCAATGCTGGGTGCTGTGCCATCCCCTTGCAGGGGCACTTTGGGACGGAGCTCTGTGGACACCAATGGGGCCACATGAATGCCCAGTGCCATTTCTGGCTGCTGTTTCTTATCGACTCTTCTAGGGAAGTCAGCAGTGTGAGCCTGATCTCTGGAATTGTGCTGTGTTGGAATCTAAAGCACAGACAGAATCCTGCAGAGTCATGCAATGACTGTTAAAAGAACAGAAGAGTTGCAGCTGAGCTTGTGAGTCTCATGTTGCTCTGCTACCTGCTGGCTCGTCCTTCTCTTAGCTTAAAACAAAATATTCAAAACCAACAGCAGGATGCCTCCCAGCTTTGTCCTCATTTCATCAGCACTGATGGCACTGGGCACAGCCTCAGGGCTGAGCAGCAGGACGAAGAAACTCAAGCAGGTTCTGCCAACCCTACACTGCAGCCAGGACCCCGACCTTGTGCTCCTTCCCTTTTCAGCAGCCAGAGAAGATGCAGCAAGTTCAATCACAACAGAGATTGTACCGTTTGCTTTCTATACCTGTTTTCAAGCATGAAACCATCTGGTTAGGCCAACAAAAGCAAATATGTAAAAATCTGTATCTGTATGTAAAATAACACCACTACCAGCTATCTATCCTTCCTGGAGAGACAGCCAGCCTTCGTGCAACAGTGCTAAAATGCTTCTGAAATACTGCATGTGAGAAGCACGGATTATTTTGATCGTTGTATTCTGATGAGAAATTCTGCCCACTCCCACATTTGCAGACACAGAAAAACAACAGGAGCTGCTTCACACGGTGGCAGCTGATCCCTGGAATGCACAGCAATGATTCACTGCTGAGTGAGGAGATCCAGCCTTCTACCTCACAGCAATCATTTCATCATCAGGAGACACTCAGCTGTCACGTAATGAGGAAATAACCACCATCTCTCATCCTGCATTCTGATGGGAACCAACAGAACCACTGAGCACCTTCCAGTGCTGGAATGGAGCTTAAAAGAGCAGAGAGACTTTTATAGGGTCAGAGAGCGATGGGACAAGGGGTGAACAGCCTTAAACTAAAAGAAGGGAGATTCAGGTCAGATGTGAGTGGGAAATCTGTTATCCAGAGACAGCAAGGCTCTGGAACTGCCTTGCTCTGGAACTGTGGGTGCCCCATTGCTGGAAGTACCCACTGCTATGAATGGGCTCTGGGATGTCTGAGCTGGGGGGCAGCCAACCCACAGCAGGGAGAGGGGCTGTAAGGTCCCTCCCAACCCAAGCGTGCAGTGATTTTGCTGTTAAAAGGAGAGTAGAGGACACGTCATACCTGGTTCTCATCCTGCACCTCCATGCTGTACTGGGGCCCTGGCTGTACCTCCGTGACTTTCTCCCCCAGGAGGAAGCCCAGGCGAGTCATGAGTGTATTTGCTGCCTCATCTACGGATGGAGGGGGTCCCAGCTCCTGCTCAGCGTCACCTGAGGAGGGAGAGAAACAAATAGGTTGAGATAAATTGCTGACCTTGGCTACTGCTCAGTGCATTTACCAACAGAGCACAGCTAATTTCCCGTGCTGTGACTTCTGTATCCAGGATTTCAGGTTACATACGTCATTCAAATCTGTGTTAATGTTATTTGATGGTTATTAATTTTAGGTTATTTATTCCCCCAGCTGTGAAGGCATGTTTACTCTTACTCCAGCTGTTATTTCTGCTCTCATTGCTTGTTTTATTCTCTGCACCTCAGGTGGAAGCAACACAATCACCTCCTTTTCCCTGCCCCACCAACAGGAAACCCAACTGGGAAGCAAGATTTCCTGGATGTGGTGAATTCAAGCCTACATGTGCCAACTTCTGCCATTCCCAAAGCACTGCACGAGATGCTCAGCAGCAAACCTGCACTTCTCAGGGGTTAACAGCAAAGGATAGGGCAGAAAAATCACAAGCATCGTTTGCTGTCATCTGCTGCTTCTGACATGCTCAGGATTACATGGGAAGTGCAGCTCTGGAGAGGTTTCCTTGCGCATCATTTGGGCTGTGACACAGAGGTGAGAGCACCTCCCAACCCCCACCAAGCTTAAAAATGACATCAAAAGGCAAAATTCCAGATGATTGTTTCCTCGAGTTTTCCTGCCAAAAATTTAGGCTGCTTAATGACTTGTGGCATCCCAATGGTGAGGTTCTGAAGGGCACATTCTGCCCCACTGACCACAGCTGCTGCAGTACAGTCGAAGCCTGAAGGTCAACCTCTTCCCACATCACACCGATGCGACGCTGTGCTTGGCGCAGTTGTAGGATGCTAATTAGGATTTGCAATTACTCTGCAGTTAATTATTCATTTGATCATGTATAATCTGGAAAAGAGCCCATCTCCTTTCCCACGTCCTGGCTCGGAGCTGCTGCAGCTCTCAGCCTGGAGCTTCATATTGAGCTCTCTGATAACTGTAAGTGAACACCACCCAGCAGAGGATCAGGGTTACGTACAAACCTTCAGAAAATGCAAGCCAGCTGCACCCAGAAACTCCCATCCAGCTCCCAGTGCACATCTCATGGGAGCTGCCTGCAAATTCTGGGTGCTTCACCCACACCACAGCTCCAGAGCACCTCCATACAATACAGTCAATGCTCATGAGCACTGCTGGCTCCGGGAGCACTGCATACATGGCAGCTTCACCATGGGGAAAGTGATTACGGGGCGTGAGAATGGAAGCTGTCTTCTAAGTCACTGAATCCCTTTTGTACCACTTTAAAGCACGCAGATGTGAATAGGATGGGTTTAAGACAGAGACAAATTTAGATGGATGGCCCAATTTTCCTGAGCTGCTGACCACCCACATTTGGGCTGTGGGCATTTACCATCCCAGGGAGTCAAATTCAGAACAGATATTTTTACGTAAGATGGGAAGTATACGGACTTTGATTTCCAAGGTTATCTCTGCTTTTTTTAGAAGAAGACTTTTCGAATTTATCCCAGATCTCTGAACTGGCCTAAAATTAGCAAACAGCTGACTGTGCAGTCTGTCACACGTGATGTCTGCAGAGATGCATGGGGAGCAACACTGGGTACGGGTTCCTGCAGCTGAGCCATGGCTCACCCCATTGGGGCTGGATGTAACCCTGCCCACACCAACCCTAGAATTGCTCCCACCGGCACAAAACTCTTGTTTGTTCCTAAAATGAAGTTACGAGCTTTGCCCTGCTTACAGAACCACAAAGGCTGGAAAAGACCTCTGAGACTATCTGAGACCCCCATGTCCAACCCCACCCCACTGTGCCCATAACTACATCCCTCAGTGCCACGTCTCCACGGTTCTGAACACGTCCATGGATGCTCCCTGGGCAGACCATGCCAGCACTCAATCACTCTGCAGGAGAAACTGTTCCTCATACCCAACTGGACCCTCTCTGGTGCAACTGCAGTCCATCGCCTCCCATCCTATCACTGTTACTGGGAGCACAGACCAACCCCACCATGCCACAACCTCCTTTGGGGAGCAGTAAGGCGTCCCTTGTGCCTCCCCTCTTCCACACTGAACAACCCCAGTTCCCCCAGCTGCTCCCCATGAAAGCTGTGCTCCAGCCCATGCCCAGCTCCCTCCCCTTCATGGCACAGGATGGTGCAGCAGCACACACAGGTGCTGCAGCCCTAATCCCCTCCTCACAGTGCAGGGCATGAACACACCCAAGAGCAGCCTCAAACCTCCTAGGCAGCCTCAAACCATCCACAGCTTTATTACAACAGCGACTGCAAAGCGCAGAGAGCTCCAAGCTTAAGCAAAGCACCACTGGATCGGATCACTCCACCTTTCAGTTTTTGTTCTGAACTGAGTAGCAAACAGGAGAGCAAGCAGCTCCAAGAGGTCTGTGACTGCTTGTGAGACCCAATGCTTCCAGGCATCACCTCTCCAGCCCTGCATGCACGATGCAGTCAATGCTGCGGCCGCATTTCATGCACACTTCAGTGCAATGGGTTCCAGGAGCACAAAGAAACACCAACACACTGCAGGGAACCGCTCGTTTCCCATAACGTAACCAACAATCTGTTGTTAATACCCCCAGCAGCAGGAGAGGTCGGGCTCAGAGGAAGGAGAGGTGATTTGTCTGAGCAGCACACGCGTTGTTTTGGGGAAGGAAAATGTACACACGCTGCCTCGCTTTGTGCTGCCAAAACAAATGAACCCAAAAACAAGACGTTTGGATTCTTTCAGAGTGACCTTTTCGTAAATAAGAGGCACCAAACAGAAAGCAGAGGAGCATTATATCCAAAAGGCCACACGCAAGAGGTAATCCCATTTCTGGAGAACAGCTCGCTTCTTCCAACCCTTCATCTTCAGGACAGACAGGCGGCTGCTGTGTTGCACAACAGAAGCAAATCAAAGCTCCTGCACTGATGTAAGATGGTTTGTGCAGAAACTGACAGCGTTACAAGCTGAGCACACCGACCAAATGGATGCCTCTGATTCTCTTTTCCAGCAGCTGAACTCATTTCAGCTAAGCCCGATCACTTCTGCAATTCACCCCAGAATTACCTGAATGAGGGCTGCTGGGAGCAATTTCATGGATCCCAACAACTTACCTACACAGCAGGTAAGCAACTACTCTGGGTACTGTGGAAGGGTTCAACTCTGGACCAACACTGGTCTCCTGGTTGCAAAAAAAACCTGTATGTGTAACAAAATCAGAAGTTTTAGCTCAATTCCAGAGCTGGGTGCCAGGACAGACCACAGCGCTCAGATCGTTCCTGGCCTCACTCAGGAGCCAGGCTCAAAGAAAAAGGGAGTTTTCTCAATACCCCAACAGTAATTTGCTGTTCTTCCACTTCGGCACCTAGTTCTGGTCACCCTGCCTGCATCATAAAGGGTTTTTGGTGGAGTTGGGTTTGCAGGTACAGAGCCATGAGTTGGAGTTGGGTTTGTAGGTACTGAGCTACGAGTTGGAGTTGGGTTTGTAGGTATTGAGCCACGTGTTGGAGTTGGGTTTGTAGGTATTGAGCTATGAGCTGGAGTTGGGTTTGTAGGTATTGAACCATGTGTTGGAGTTGGGTTTGTAGGTACTGAGCTACAAGTTGGAGTTGGGTTTGTAGGTACTGAGCTACAAGCTGGAGTTGGGTTTGTAGGTACTGAGCTACAAGTTGGAGTTGGGTTTGTAGGTATTGAGCCATGAGTTGGAGTTGGGTTTGTAGGTACTGAGCTACAAGCTGGAGTTGGGTTTGTAGGTACAGAGCCATGTGTTGGAGTTGGGTTTGTAGGTATTGAGCCATGTGTTGGAGTTGGGTTTGTAGGTACTGAGCTACAAGTTGGAGTTGGGTTTGTAGGTATTGAGCCATGAGTTGGAGTTGGGTTTGTAGGTACTGAGCTACAAGTTGGAGTTGGGTTTGTAGGTACTGAGCTACAAGTTGGAGTTGGGTTTGTAGGTATTGAGCCATGTGTTGGAGTTGGGTTTGTAGGTATTGAGCTACAAGCTGGAGTTGGGTTTGCAGGTACAGAGCCATGTGTTGGAGTTGGGTTTGTAGGTATTGAGCTATGAGCTGGAGTTGGATTTGCAGGTACTGAGCCATGAGTTGAGTTTGGAGGTACAGAGCCATGAGTTGGGTTTGTAGGTACTGAGCCATGAGTTGGAGTTGGATTTGCAGGTAGTGAGCCATGAGCTGGAGTTGGGTTTGTAGGTACTGAGACATGAGTTGGGGTTGGGTTTGTAGATACAGAGCCTCGAGCTGGGTTGGTATGCACTGAGACAGGAATTAAGAGTTGGGTTTGTAGGTACTGAGCCTTGAACTGGAGTTGGGTTCGTAGATCCACAAGTGGGGTTTATAAGCACTGAGCCACAAGTTGGACCCAATGATCCTTGCAGGTCCCTCCCAACTCAAGATGTTCACTGCTTCTATGAGTGATGTGACAGTGGCCCTGTGCTGGGAACTTGGCCAGGGATCACCAGAAGGGTTCCAGGCAAAAGCAGGGGCACTGGGGATTGCTTCTCGTCAGCACAGTTTTCTTTTCTCCAGGAGGAGTTCATAAACTTCATAACATTTCCTTGAAAAATCAAATCTACAATTTCCTAAGCACAGTGTATTGGTTTTGCTCTTTTCAGTAAAACACTCCAAATGTCTGGTTTTGAACATTATCATTGTAAAATACCATTTCTCTTCAATCCCTTCAATTCCTATAATGAAATCTGCCACATATTTCAGCTGCAATTGCTTAAAATGGAATGAGATTTCTTTATGACATATTTTGCAATCCTGTGACTTGTTGGATGGCTACCATTGCCTCATCTTCCAGATCTGCAACACGAGGCTGCAGAAACCATCAGTGTGGCTTTACTTCTTACTGCAATGGTTAAATTCTCACTTCCAAAAACAGATCCTGAATGGAACTGAAATTATACCTGAAATCTATTCCAGTGAGCATCAAACTACAAGAAGTGGGTAACAGTTTGCTCAGCTGCACCCAACCTAGAATTTGCCTGAATATAAAACTGATT